CTGCCTCTTTGTTGTAGGAAATATTGACATTTTTACAGGAAGCAGATCCAGGTTTGCTTTCTTCCCAGCCCATCTTGGCAGTCATGAAGGTCTGGAGGGCGGTGGTCCCACAGAACTGGGAAACAGCACTTGCCACTGAATTTAAAAAGATCTGTGTCAAGGAGAGTAATGGTCCTGTCTGAAGGATGCTTGTAAACCTCACAAAATAGCAAATGATGCACTGTGATTACAAAGTACTTCCAAGCAGAAATGAGATAGGACAGGAAGGCAGAGAGGAGATAGCTGAAGAAAAAGGCTCTCTGAAAAAAATTTAAAGTATTTTATAAGCTCTTTTTAAAATCCTTTCTAATCTACAAGTTAGCAACAGCAAAACTTATATTAGTTTTACTCAGAAAATCAGACAATTTACTAAAATTCAAAATTTGGGTATACTATTTAAACACACACACATACACACACACACACACACACACACACACACCAAAAAAAAACAAACAAAAAAAAAAAACACACACACACACACACACACACAAAAAAAAAAAAACTTGCCCTGGCCCATTTGGCTCAGTGAATAGAGCATCGGCCAGCTAACTGAAGGGTTCCAGGTTTAATTCCGGTCAAGGACACACGCCCGGATTGTGGACTCGATCCCCAGTGGGGGACTTGCAGGCGGCATCCGATCCATGATTCTTTCTCATCATTGATGTTTCCCTCCATCTCTCCCTCTTCCTTCCGCTCTGAAATCAATAAAAATATATTGGGGAGGTGGGAACACTTAAAGCCCTAGCTAGGTTGGATCAGTGGATGGAGTGCTGGCCTGTGGACTGAAAGATTCCAGGTTTGATTCCAGTCAAGGGCAGGTGCCTCAGCTGCAGGCTCAATCCCTGGCCCTGGTTAGGGCGCTTACAGAAGGCAGCCAACATCATATTTCTCTCCTTTGTCTCTCCCCCTCCTTTCCATTCTCTCTAAAAATCAATGGAAGAATGTCTTTGGGTGTTGATCAAAAAGACAAACATAAAAAAAAAAAAAAACTCACAACAAAAAACCTACTTAAATTCATCGATGTTTCTAACTCTCTATCCCTCTCCCTTCCTCTCTGTAAAAAAAAAAAAAAAAAAAAAAAAAAAAAAAAAAAATCAATAAAATATATATATATATATATATATATATATATTATTATTATTTTAAAGAGTAGAGGGTATTACTTTTTGCTTCCTTTTCTTTCCAAAGTGAATGGAGTATTTTATGTTTCTTTTGCTTCCTTTCCCAAAACTATGTGGTGGTGCTTTTAGGACTGATGACCTGGAAGATATAAGCAAAAGGCTTGTCTTCTCAAAAGACCTCAAAGCTGACTCCCTGATCCCAAGCCCTTTTTGAACTGTGAAATGAGAAAAAGAAGCTTTCTTTGGCTCAGCCACTGAAATCTGGAGGCTGTTTATGATGGTGGTTAGTCACCTGATGAGGTCCATGTGGGAGATCAAACAGAACCAGGCCCAGAGAAGTGCAGGGTCCAGCGCTCTGGATGTGATAGACACAGGGAGATATGGTGGTTCCCCTTTGCTCCCAACATGTGTCTCTGCTGCGAACCTGTAGTCTTCTCATTCCCTGCTGCTCAGTCTCCGACCAGTGTCCCCTAGACCTCTGTACCTCGCTTCTAAGTACCTTTCTGCCCTCTGCAATCCCCTGCACGCACACACACAACTGCAAAATCTGGAACCTTGGCCTGAATACTCAGTTCACACTCCAGAGATGAGGTGGGAGGCAGCAAAGCTGCTTATCTTGTGCGATCCCTGGCACCGGTCTGGCCTTACACAAACCGGTTCCTCCCAGGAGGAGCCTGAGGCTCCCAAACCAGTGGCACGCATTTCAACCCGGGCACATCCTGCTTCCCTCCTCAGACTGCCACTTCTGTCTGGAAAGTCTTGTACCCCAACGATGGCCACCACCGGGTGCTTAATGTGTGTCCCCGGTGGAAGCGAGGCAGGCGCAGATCAGCGGGAGTCAGACTGTGCAGGGATCCCCAAAGGGCCTGGCCTGGGAGGGCTCCCTAAAGGCACCGTTGGTGATTTTGGGGACCAGATCAAGAAGGAGGAGCATCACACGGAGGGACAAACGCCATGCCCCATTTCCCCTGGAACTCTGCCGAGAAGACAGGGTGCTAGCAGATCTTACACTTTCAAAAGCTGCGGGAAGAACACATTACCAAAAAGGGCATTTTCTTCCTGCAGGAGAAGGAGGAGGGGAAGGAGTCGTGAATCAACAAGCCAAACAGCACAGCGGAGGAGAGACGGTGCGAAGTGGAGAGACGGTGCGGGTTTGGATGCCGACTCTGCCATTTGCCAAGGGCACGTCCTTGGGCACAGGGTGTCCTGTGCCTGAGCCTCAGTGTCCGCATCCAGACGATATGAAATAGCGATGATGCCTCCTTCCCAGAGCTGCTGCTGTGAGGAGTAAGCGAGGTTATGCCTGGAACGGGCCCATTTTTAATACATAAAAATATTATATTTTTAATACATAATTTTTATTTATTTATTATATTTGTAAATGCTCCGTGTGAGCAGATAGATGGTGAGCACCGTCACCATACCGTCCAAAACCACGTCAAACTCTCCTAAGATCTCAGACTAACAAGAGAGAGAGGACCAACTCCTCCTCTTGATTCAGTTCATTCATCAGACGGGACGAGAGAGCAAAGTAGGCCATTCATAAATCTGTTCCCCGGAAGCCTTTGGCAAAGTGTCTCAACAACTGCAGAGTCATTTACATTCCAGAGGCCGTGCCAATTCCATCTTCACATTATCTTTCTCTCCGGATAAGACGCCTTTTAGATTAACTGATGACTTCGGTTTTTAATAGGCTCTTGGGCTTAATCCTGGAATTTCCATCACAAATTTTAATTTCCTGTGGCTGGTCTTAGCAGGAACTTTCTAAAAGAAGGATGCCAAGACTCAGATCTGTTTTCTTTCTTGCCGAGTTTGGATTATAGATAGTTGTAAGAAACTGCCATGGAAAAAAGCACGTGTGCTCACCTCCCAACCAGCTGACTGGTGGCTGTGTTTTAGCGGTAACTATGTTTCATGCCAAATTCACAAATAATGGGTGACACTCAGAACTTCCTTCCTACCAAGTGCTGTGATTGGTGCTTGAGGTGCATCTCAGTTGGGGGCTCACAAAAGGTCTGCTGAGAAGGTGCTATTATTAGTCCCACTTTACAGTCAGCAAACTGAGGCACACAAAGAATGAGCAGTTTGTCCAAGGTACAGCCTGGTAGGTGGGGAAGAGGGTATGCGAACTCATACAGGGTAACTCTAGAGCTGATGCTCTTAACCCTCGCTTAAGGAGCAAAGGAGACCACGAGGGAAGGCCTGCCATGGTGAGGAGTCTGTGAGGCGGTAGCATGTGGGGAAGGGCGGTGCTCTTTAAACGCAATGGCAGCTGTGGAATACATATATCAAACACTGTACTTTATATATAATATTTCCTCTGACCTCACAACGTCTCTTTGACAAGTACTATTCTCCCCATTTTACAGATAAGAAAACTGAGGCACAGAGAAATTAAGTCACTTACTCAAAGCCATTCACCAGCAAGCATCCGAATCCAGGGATCAGACTCCCAGTGTTCTCAGCCGGGTAGAAGCTGCCTGTGCCTCGACTTTCCCCCAAGTCCACACTAAGGTGACTAGACATCCCGCTTTTGGCGGGACAGTCCTGATTTTTAACAATATGTCCCTCATCCCTCGGTGTTTTGAAAAAGTCCAGATTTTTGGAAAGAATGCACGACAAGCTAGGGAACAGCGGGAGAACAGGAAGGGAATATATGGTTTTCGGCAGCCATGTGGCCATTTAGGCAGGATATGAGTTTTATATTATTTTTGTTAATTTTATACTTTAAATTTAAACTTTAATAATAACAAATAGTTGTTGAGAACTGATTATCGAGAACTGCTTATCAAAGTTCGCATTGTTGATCAGTCGTTAGAATTCGACCACCATTGTTTGGACTTGAAGAACAATGGCATTTTTGGGGATTGGCAACGACGAAAACATTTTGTAACCGTCTCTCAGACGATACACATTATTTATTTCATGAATACATACATTTTCTTGAATTTAGCAGACAGTACTCATATTATTTATATTTTATAGTGGTGGCAAAAAGTCTAACGCCGGTCTTGAAAGTGACACTTAATTTTTTAATACATAATTTTTATTTATTTATTATATTTGTAAATTGTACTTATGTTGACATTTTTTTAAAAAAATATATAGTACAATGCTATTTTTGCGTTCTATGAAAATTTGTGTTGCTCCAGATAGAGCAAATTTTTAATCAAGACCCCCCCTCCCTTTCAATGGTGTGCCGCTTTACCAATGTTAAAACCTGGTCCCCTTAGCCTACACCTCCCGTCCCTGCCTCCTGAGCCCGCACTCCCAGCCCGGCCTCCGCTTCCACCGGCCACCCCGCCTGCACGGGTGGGGAGCCCCTCGGCGCCCACAGCGCCTCTCCCAGAGAGCTTTGCGCTCCTGGGAATGAAGAGCCTTTGAGCTGGGAGCCCCGCCCCGCCCGCCTCAGGCCCCGCCCACAGGCCCGCCCCGCCCACAGGCCGCCCGGCCCACAGGCCGCCCGGCCCACAGGCCGCCCCGCCCACAGGCCGCCCCGCCCACAGGCCCGGCCCCGGCGGCGGCGGCGGGCGTGTCCCCGGGCGGCGCCCGGGGCCGGGGGCGGGGCCTGGCCGCGGTGCGGGCCGCGCGGCGCGGGCGGCGGGGCCGGCGCGCAGGTGGCTCCTCCTCCGTCTCCCGGAGCTCGGCCCGGGCGGACCCGCGAGGGAGCGAGCGCCTTTGTGCGGGGCTCGGGGATCCGCGACGCCGCTCCGGTCCGGCCCATTGTTCCGCTTCTGTCTCTTCCGGGCGAGTGTTGCCGTGCGCGGCGCCGCACGTGTCCCCGCGGCCGCTGGCGCCGGGACCGCGGGCGCCGGCGGGGTCCGGGCTGCGCGGGAGATGAAGTTCCTGAAGCCGTGGTGGTCCGACGGCGGCGGCCTCCTGCACCTCACCGTCCTGCTGGGCTTGGCGGGGCTCCACCGGGACCCGGGCCGGGACCGGGACCGGGGCCGGGACCTCTACCCGCTGCGGGATGAGCTGCTGCTCTGGGGCCGGCCGAGCCCCGCCTCCGCGCCCAGCCCCTTCCCGGCCCCCGGAGGCTGGGGGCGCGCGGACCCCCCGCACCCCAAGGGGCGGGAGCCGGAGCCCGCGGGCCGGCTGCTGCGGGCGGTGCGCGCGCTGGGCGCCCCGTTCATCCCCCGCACCCGCGTGGACGCGTGGCTGGTGCACGGCGTGGCGGCCGGCGACCCCGACGGGGCGCACGGGCTGCTCGGCGCCGCCGCGGCCTCGGCGGCCGGAGGAGTGGGCGCCGGCGCGGACGGCGGCAGCCAGGCTGCGCTGGGGGGCGGCGGGGACCCCCGCGCGGCCCCGAGCAGCCCCCTGGCCGCCGGGGAGGAGGAGGCGGCGCCCGCGGAGCCCACGGCGCGGGTGCCGGACGCCGGCGGACGCGCCAGCCAGGTGAGCGGGGGCAGGGGGCGCCCGGGATGGGAGGAGGGAGGGCCCTAGGGGGTGAGGACCCCGCTGGCCTCCCACCCTCCGCCCCTGGGGGGAGGGGCGGGGCTGTAGGGTCGCGGACGGCTCTGCCCCTGTCCTTTTTGTGGCTCTGAGCGTGGCTTGCAGGTGTTGGAGAAAGAAGTGGGTGAAATCCTCCGTTTCCGTTATAGGGGACCCCTTAGGTGGGACAGCCAGGGAGGGCGGCTCGGGGCCGGTAAGATGCGTGCCTTCCGCCGCCTCTGAGCGGCCTGTGTGCCCGGAACGGTCTGTGCCCTCCAGGGGAGCCCCTGCCGGGCGCAGAGGGTCGGAAGGAGGACTTGGCCCCCGGGGGGACGCGCGCAGGTTTCTCTTTGGGAACCGCGCGCCCGGCCCAGCGCGATGGCCCCGCCCGGGTTTGAACCCCGTTGGGGTCGCGTTTGCTGCTTCCCGGGCGGAAGGGGCGGAGGACGGTGTCCAGGCGGAGGACAGTGTCTGTCCAGGCGGAGGCGGGCGGGCCCCTCCGCCCCCCGCGTGCGAGCCCTGCGCCTCCCTCTCCCCGCGGGGACCGCCCATGGGCATAAGCAGGAGCCCGGCCATCACCGGCGCCTGACGATTCCCTTCGGCTTCGCTTTCCTTTGGAACCGCGGTCACCGAGTCCGCTCATGGACGTCCTGGGCCGCTCCTCACTCCCTGCCCACTCCGGCCCCCGGACACCTGGGGGCCCCTGTCCATGAAGCGCCCTGTCCACGGGCCTTCCGAGGGCCCTCTTCCTGCTTTCTCCGCCCAACCGTGGTGATAACAATGGGTATCGATCAGCCAGTGTTCCTCGGACGGTGTGTGTGTGTGTGTGTGTGTGTGTGTGTGTGTGTGTGTGTGTGTGAGTGCAATCTTATGCAAAACGGGGCTGGGGCTAGACTGGTTTGTTGGCTGCGCTTGGAACTGCCCTGCATGTAGGCAGTTGTCAGACGAGCTCCTTCACCCTCCCGGAGGGGTCACTGTGCCGGGGGCGGGGTGATTCACCGTCACCCAGATCCCAGTCCTCCCCCCCCCCCCTGGAGCGGATGAATGGGAGCTGGTGGGAGCCTTGGTGGGCTCCTGTCTGTTCCCAACCTGGAAGGTTCTTCCCACCCACTTATCCAATCCGGGTTCCACGCTGCCCTCACCCTCCTCCCCTAGGTGCGTGGCAGAACCACCCACAGGTGAAGGTGAAACCCAGGGCTGAATGCAGGACCAGATGGCACCCTGCCCCCTCACAGCTGAGTGCCAGCCGGCTGGCAGAGTACACAGGGACCCGGAGGGAGTGAGGCAGTGCTCTCTACAGGACTTCCCTCCCTTCCTTCCCATCACCTGGCTGATGCCTGTTCAGACAGGCCAGCCTGGGGTGGAGGAAGCGGGGAGGAGGGGGGGTGGGGACAGGGAGTTCCAGAGGCCAGGCCCAGCCAGACCTTGGAGTCCTTGAGCCCCACGTTCCTGGGGAAGAGGATGAAGTTCACCGGAAGCCATCCCGGTGGGGCCTCCCCGTGGCGGGTGCTGAAGCTGGCAGGTGCGGGGATGGCCTGGTTGTATGGGTTTCAGCCAAGGTCAGCTGGGGAGCACCGGAGTGCTCACAGCAGTTCACCCTCCTCGGCCACACCTTTTCCACATCAGCCTCGTGAAGTCCACGGGCCAGGCGGCCTCGTCTCCATCGTGAACAAGAAAAGGGGGGTCCAGTGAGATTGGGGCGCTTGGGGAAAGCCACAGTTTTAGTGTAAGGTGACCAGACGTCGCTGCTTTTGGCTGAACAGTTCCGATTTTTAACAATTTGTCCCGCACGGAAACCGGTTTGGCTCAGTGGATAGAGCGTCGGCTTGCGGACCGAAAGGTCCCAGGTTCGATTCTGGTCAAGGGCATGTCCCTGGTTGCGGGCACATCCCCCACTGGGCGGGGTGTGCAAGAGGCAGCTGATCGATGTTTCTAACTTTCTATCCCTCTCTCTTCCTCTCTGTAAAAAATCAATGAAATTTTTTTTTTAAAAAAACAATTTGTCCCGCGTCCTGCGGCATTTTTAAAAATGCGGCAGGATGTGGAACAAGTTGTTAAAAATCGGGACGTCTGGTCACCTTATTCTAGTGCCAGTCGTGGAGCTAGAACCTGAACTTCCGGACTCCCAAACGGGCACCTGCACTAGGCACCTGCCCTGCACTCAGGCTCTCCAGACGGGCGTGCGGCCCAGTGGGTGCTGCCCTCACGCCTGTCCCGGGCCCACGGCTCCCCAAAGCTGGGTGGACTAAAGGGCAGGCCACACGCCCGTGGTGCCCGGGCTGTCACTGGGAGCCAGGGCTCGGGGAGGAACGGGGCTGGGGTGTGGGTGGGGGCATCCCTTCCTAAGGTGCCTCACACAGGTCCCTCTGGGGGGGCGCAGGGCTTCCCTCGGGGGCGCTGTTGTGCCAATTACACGGGAAACGCCTGTGCACATGCCAGCCCAGCGCCGGGAGTGTAATTGTTGATGCTCTGGCATTCCGCCTGCATCCTCAGCCCACCCTCCTTGGCCTGTCCCCACTCCCTTTATTCCCTTCTATTCGGCTGCCTGGCTGGCGTGGTTGTCAGCCAGTGTCTTGCCCTCTCTGTGCCGCCGTGGCCTCCGCTGCAGCTCGGCATTGTGGGGGCGCAGAGGGCAGCCGGCTTAGGACCCGGCCTCCCGGGCTTACTGACAGTCAGGGACCGGGAACTTCAAAGAGGGGGCGTGCTTTGCCCCAGAGACCATCCTAGGTGGGTTGTCTTTATTTATTTATTTTTAAATACATTTTACTGATGTTTTAGAAAGAGGAAGGGAGAGGGAGGGTTAGAAACATCGATGAGAGAGAATCATCGGCCAGCTGCCTCCTGCACACCTCCTACCGGGGATGTGCCCGCAACCAAGGCACATGCCCCTGCCTGGAATGAACCCGGGACCCTCTATCCGCGGAGCCACACCGCCTTGGGCTTGTTAGGTCTTTAAATAGATCGCGCTGGTGGCTCCCTGGGCGCGGCAGGGAGCGCCGGCTGCACAGTGCAGTTCCTCCTCCCGTCTGTCCCTGTGCAGGAGGAGGCTGCAGCGGGGGTTTTCCAAGTGTCAGAGCAGGGCTGCTGTGGTTTCGCTTCTGAGCGGGGCCACGCGCCGTCTGAACACTCTGCCCGGAATTCCCCAGGCAGCCCGGCGGCCTCCCGGCCACAGCCGATCGCTGTTCTTCGGGGAAATGCTCGTGCGAAACAGACACCGACGGTTTCCGCGGAACTGAACGTGCGCCTGTCTGAGCGCCTCGCACAGTGACCCCTTCGGGAGGGTGGAGGAGCTCCTGTGCTTCAGGGGGCGGGTGCCGCTTGGAGACAGAGGGCCTGTCCTCCTGATGGGGTGCCCGCTCCGGAATGGGCACCCCCTGCCCGGTGAGGGCCCGGCAGGACCTCCTGGTCTTCTTAGGGCAGTGGGCTGTGTTATTTCGGGTCCCGGGGAAAAGCTGGCACCATCAATACTTGCCACTAAGAAGAAGGGGACAAGAAGGGTGCTGGATCGGTAAAGTGAAAATTGTTTGTCCTGCCCTAACCGGTGTGGCTCAGTGGATAGAGCATCGGCCTGCGGACTGAAGGGTCCCAGGTTCGATTCTGGTCAAGGGCATGTACCTGGGTGGCAGGCACATCCCCAGTGGGGGGTGTGCAGGAGGCAGCTGGTCGATGTTTCTCTCTCATCGATGTTTCTAATTCTTTATCCCTCTCCCTTCCTCTCTGTTAAAAAAAAAAAAAAAAAAAAACAATAAAATATATATATTTTAAAATTGTCCTTTCAAAATCAAAGAGAGACCCTGGTGCCGAGGGAGCTGCAGGTAGATGGGATCTCTTTGGGCTGCCCGGTGACCACATCCTTGGCAGCACCCCCAGCTTCCCAGCAGGCCCTGCTTGCTTGCTGGAGCGCCTCTGGTCTCCCAGAGGACAGGAGGGCACAGGTCACAGTATCCGTGTCCCGGTGCTGCCGCCTGGGCGGCCTGAGGAATAGGACCCACAGTCCCGCCGGTCTGGAGAGGAAGGAGTTGGCAGGGCCACGGGGGAGAGGCGGCTCCCTCTGGCCTTGGCTGGCAGTCTCTGGCAGCCCTGGCCCCGATCTCGGCCTCCGTCTCCCGGTGCGTGTCAGTGTCCGAGTCTGCTTTTCAGGAGGCCGCCCGTGTCGTGTTGGATTAGGGTCCCGCCCTGCTCCCCTTTGCTAATGACAGCCACAGGCTTCAGGCTCCAGATAAGGTCACACGGTAACTTCCTTCCAGTGCGGGTTACGGGTTACGGTTCATTTTGTTCCACAGTCACCAGCTCCCTTTCCTGGCAGCCGTGGGTGTTCAGCTTGCTTAGCAACAGGCTCCACCTGTGGAAAAGGAAGGTGTTTGTGGAAGCAGGGTCATCGCCGCAGGACGTGGTATATGCTCGTGAGCAGATCTGGGGGGCGGGTAGGGGGATTACTACCTCGATGTGGAGCAACCCCGAGGAACCTTATTTCCAGGTTTCTCCAGCCAGCCCTTCCCCTCGTCGTTAGGTCACAGGCCTGCCATCTCTGCAGTGTCCCTCCTGTCATTCTTCTCCCCGCCCCCCCCCCCCCCCCCCCCATGTCTCAGCTCGTCTGAGACCATCAGAGTGCGGGCTGGCCTAGTGGTCCAGTGCCCCGGACTGGAGTCAGACCGGCTGCAGGGGCCGTCTGATCTGTTTCCGCCGTCTGATGCCAGGGGCAGGTTTCTGAACTTCCATTTGGAGAGCCTCCACCGGTGCCTCGTTACCTGCCCGTTGGGTATTTTGTCATCAAGACTCTTCACGGGGCAGCGTGACCCAGCTCCCTAACTGGCCTCGCTGAGCTCATCCCTCATGATCCTCCGCCTGGAGTCCTCCTTCCGCTGAAACTTCCTCCCTCTTTTCCCAGACAGCCTCCTGCTCTCCTGCCTCTTACTCCGTTTCCTTTGTTTGCCCAGACTCACCTCAATGATCACCTCTTCTACAAGCATTTTATTTTTATTTTTTTTAAGTATTTCATTGATTTTTTTTTTTTTTTTTTTTTTTTTACAGAGAGGAAGAGAGAGGGATAGAGAGTTAAAAACATCAATGAGACAGAATCATCGATCAGCTGCCTCCTGCACGCCCCCCACTGGGGATGTGCCCGCAACCAAGGTACATGCCCCTGACCGGAATCGAACCCGGGACCTTTCAGTCCGCAGGCCGACGCTCTATCCACTGAGCCACACCGGTTTCGGTTTCTCATTCGTTTTAAATTGTCCTTTTGTGCCTTTAAGAGCCAGCCCTATACTGAGGACGGCCCTCCTACACCCCGAGGGAGACTGGAACAGAAGGGAGCACAGGGGAGCAGAGCGCGCGCAGGCCGGGGCCAGGGGCGCTCTCTGTCTTGCACGGAGGTGTCTTCAGTGTGGAAACTGAGTCTTCACTTTAACCCCAGGTGGCACCCAGGACGGGGTGAGGAGCGCAGGCGGGTTCGAAAAGCGTCTGCTGAGCAATCCTCCCTCCCTCCCTCCCTCCGGGTTGGCTTGACACCATGAACTTGACTGTGTCGTGGGTCCTTTATGGCCTGAGTCCAACTAGAAAGTAGGTCAGATCCAAGTCCTGATGGGCCATCTGGCCACTCCGTGCCAATCTGAGTGGACGGGGGCAGCAGACTTTCAGGTTGGCATTGTAATTAGTCCAGTGTTGAAATAGGATTGCCCAAAGTTACACAGCAGGTTAGCGACCTGGCCCAGAATAGAACAGGTTACTGCTCGTAAGCACTGGGCTAACCCTACCTCCCACCCACTACAGAGCGACGCGCTGTAAAAACAGGCTTCTCCCGTTCATGGCGGCCTTCCGACCTGAACAGTCTGTTCTCACAATCTAGCCAAGGATCCGTGTTGTTATTTGGATACACGTGTGGCAGCTGAGGCTGGGGAGGCTCGGGCACACAGCGGGTTGTTCTGGGTTAAGCTGCAGGTGGTGGTGGGCAGAGTATTAGCAGTGGCAGAGAGGCCTGACCTGTGGCCACAGGGCCTTTTGAGGTTGGGTATGACTATCAACAAGGGCTCTCCAAGGAACAGAAGCAGTAAAATATGAATAATATAGATTATACCAGCCGAAACCGGTTTGGCTCAGTGGATTGAGCGTCGGTCTGCGGACTGAAAGGTCCCAGGTTTGACTCCGGTCAAGGGCATGTACCTTGGTTGCGGGCACATCCCCACTAGGGGGTGTGCAAGAGGCAGCTGATGGATGATTCTCTCTCATCGATGTTTCTCTCTATCCCTCTCTCTTCCACCCTGAAAAAAATCAGTAAAATATTTTTTTACAATAAACTCTCCAATGTTGATTTAAATTAAAAAAAAATATATATATATGTGTGTGTGTGTGTGTGTATTATACCAATATAACATGAAGATATCACACACACACACACACACACACACACACACAAATATATATACATACGATTGAATTCAAGGCATTGGCTGCCATGGTTGTAACGGTTGGCAAGTCCAAACTCTAGGGCAGCTGGGGATTCAGCAGGCTGGAGGCAGGACTTCCTCTCCCTCAGTTTTGCTTCCAAGGCCTTTCACCTGATCAGATGCAGCTCACTCCGATTATCGAAAATGATCTCGTTAAAGCCACCTGTTGACTATAGCTGTCAACCACAGCCACCAGATACCTCCAGCACCTGGGTTGGTGTTTGAGTGAGCAATTGTGGACTCCAATACAGCCTCCCCGCTCCTTCCTACCCGGCGCCTTTGTGAGCGAGACCTTCCAGAAGAGCCCTGGTGGGGTTTAGTAGCTGTGCACTGAGAGCTGGTACATGTTAGTCCAGGTTACAGCTCCTGGCATGTTACAGTTCAGCAGGCGATCTGCCCTTATTGGCCAGAGCTGGGGGTTGAATCTCTAGGAACTCCGGTCCCGCTGGGTCTTTCTGGAACTTGCTTGGGTGTGTCAGGAACCCTTCAGCCCCCATGGGGTGGGAAATCCTTCGGGAAATGACTGACCAGAACGGGGATGTTCCAATCGGGGATGATCAGACTGAAGAGGAAGGTCACCAGCTCAAAATATCCGAAGAGCTGTGATGGGAAGGAGGTCTCAGGCTCTGGAGAGTATCTCAAAAGTCCTTCCGGAAGTATCTCAGTAGACATTCCTGAACTAGAAGGACTCTTCTTTTTTAAAAAAATATATTTTATTGGTTTTTCACAGAGAGGAAGAGAGAGGGATAGAGTTAGAAACATCGATGATAGAGAAATATTAATCAGCTTATTATTCCTGCACTCCCCCCCCCCACCGGGAATGTGCCCCCAACCAGTGCACATGCCCTGGGCCGGAATTGAACCTGGGACCTTTCAGTCCGCAGGCCGACGCTCTACCACTGAGCCAAACCGGTCTCGGCTATACGGACTCTTGTAAGTATAACCATAATGCCACTAGTATTAATACATCTAGAAAACCAATAATTCTTGCCCTGGTTGGTTTGGCTTGGCCTGGGTTGTGAGCTCGATCCCCAGTTTGGGGGGAGGGGGGGTATGCAGGAGGCAGCCAATCAGTGATTCTCACCATTGGTGTTTCTATCTCCCTCTCCCTCTCGGAAATAATTTTTTTTAATTTAATTTAAAAAAAATCAATAATTGTTGGTATTATTAAGCATGCCGTCCGTATTCAGATTCCCGTTATGGCATGAGCAGTTTTCCACAGGTGGTTTGTGGGTCTCACGATCCAAACAGACTCATTCCTTGCGTGTGGCCAGCTGTTCTGCATGATAAGGGGATCTTCCCGCCACTGCTGGTCTCGTGTGTGTGTGTGGGGGGGGGGGGGTGGAGCAGCAGAACTTGGGGGGCAGCAGAGCTGGGGGGCAGCAGAGCTGGGGGGCAGCAGAGCTTGGGGGCCAGCAGAGCTTGGGGGCAGCAGAGCTTGGGGGCAGCAGAGCTTGGGAGGCGGAGCAGGGAGAGGAGAGGTGGCCTCGGCAAGCCTCCCCTGGGCCTGTGTGGGGCAGTGGCTACGTGACTGAGCAGCCGGAGGACAGTCATACCTTCCCAGCCCAGTGGGAAAGAAACGACCCAAACAGCTATCATTTCAGACAGTAAGTGCCACGAGGGAAACCTGCGGCCGTGGGACGCAGACCCAGGAGAGCGGCTCCAGGGGGGCCGCACGGGGAAGGGGGGTCCGAGCGGAGGGGAGACGTGTCTTCCCGGCAGAGCGCCGTTGGGGGGCCTTCCAGCAGGGCCAGTTCAGGACACGCCACTGGGGTTCTCTGTGATCAGACCCCCGCTCACGGGTTTACGATGGCTTCCTGCGGCAAGCTTGGAAACCTCACTTTTTTTATTTTTTGAGTCACAGCCTCACAAGAGTATCACCTGCGTACACATAAAAAGTAGCTTAATGATGGGTTTCGCATACCCAGGCTGTAAATTAAAAGCACGGGCCATAGCTCGGCGGGTACTTGTAAAAACACATGCACTCTGTGTCTCGGCCCCAGGTCGCCGAGTGGAGGGAAACGGGGAGAGAACCGTAATCCCGGGCCCCCGGCGGCTGGCAGCCTTTCTCCTGCCGTTCTGACCGAGCTGCCAGCAGTTGGGCACCAATGGCAACGCTTGAGAACCAAACAGCAGCTGGAAGGAGTAGTGATGTCTGGTCAGCATCTTAAAACGTAAAGAGTGCTTTTTCTCAACTGATTTCCTAAAATGTGAAACAGAAACCATCTTTTCACAGAGTACACTGAGGGCCCACAGGGCCCGGAGTCACACAGCTGGAGAGAGTAGGATAAGCCTTTTTAACAGCAGTTTTGGGGCCTTTGCCCTCCTAGCCACAAGGCGTGGGTGGGGTTTGCAGATTCTGCCAATTACCCTGAGTGGCCAGATTATTGTGATCTCTGAACGCATGATAATCTGGCCACTCAGTGCACATCCTTCTATAGAATAAAAGGCTAATATGCAAATTGTCCCCTCGACCAGGAGTTCGACCAGCAGGCCGGCCGGCCAACCGCCATGTCCCCTCCTCCTGGCAAGGCTGACCGGACCCCACCCATGCACAAATTCATGCACCAGGCCTCTAATATATAACACATATACACACACACACACACACAGAGTGGCCAGATTATTATACGTTCAGAGATCATAATCTGGCCACTCAGTGTACGTCACAGGCGTCACAGTCCTTTTCCCTTTCTAAGTGGACATAGTGTTGAACCCTCCACCCCTCCTGCTTTGAGGTTCTGGACTCTCTTCTCCCCCCGCTGCTGTAAACGGGGAGGGGAATGCTGAGACTGAGTGGAGGGGCAGAGCGTTTGTAAGGAAATAACCAGGCAGCTACCGCTGTGGCAGGGAGGAAGGAGACAAGACTGACCTGAAGCAGAAGCCAGGCTGTGATGCAGGCAGTGAAACCAGGAGCTTTGGGGCTGAAGTGGCCCACATCACGACGGTCCCACCCTGAGCCGGTTGAGGGAGGGGTATGCGTGCCCAGGAAGGGCGTGACCTCAGGTGAAGTCGCCCTCAGCAGTGGAGGCCTCTGTGACGGCACAGCTGGAAGGGGTCCCCCACCGGCCCCCAGCAGCTGCCGCTCACTCCCTCCCCTGTGCCCTTCCTGCCTGTGCTCTCCTGGAATCCCATTGGTCTCCTGTGTGTGGGGGTCGATGTATTCCCCATTTATACCTTCAGTTCAAACCTTTGCTGTAAATTCACCTAAGTTGATGGAGTATGGATTTCTACTTAGAACACATTCTGGGTGTTTTTATAGGAGAATGGGGCGTTAAGAGCTACAGGTCACAGTTCTCAGCAGGAGGAAAAGGAGCAAGGCGTGTCAGCCCAGGATAACTCGCTGCAGCAGCAGGATGAAGGTGAAGCTGAAGCAGCAGACGCCCCCGAATCCAGGAATGAGGTAAGCGTGGCTGGGTCCCAGCCTGACCACTTTGGCCGGCAGGTGGATTTTCTAAGGCTTTGTCAGTATGTGTTGAGAACAAAGTTTGTATATACATATGACCTACTCTAAGCAAATCTGATACATGGAAAACACTTGGTTTTTGTTGTTTATTGTCGGAGTGCTTATTTGGTTTACAAAGGAATCAGCCTGTAGGATCAGTTATCTCTGTTTAAACTCAAGACGGTGTATGTGCCCTCATGCATACCCTTCCAGGTGCTTGCTAGTAGGTTTTATTAGTTGCATTTGCCGTGGCAAGGGATCAAGGGATGGCTGATGTCCTGCATCCAGGAATCCTCACCCAGTCCCCTGCAGGCAAAGCACCCTCAAGACCTCACCCAGTGTCCCGCTGGGCCAAGTTCCATGGGCATTTGCCCATATCGGACCTCTCGGCCTAGAGTGAAGGCCAAGCCCCATGGGGACAGCCTCCTTAGCTCCTGTGTCTAACCACACTCATGGCGGTGAGAAGAGGAACAGGATGGTGAACACCAGGAGCCAGGCTGACGGGGTATATCCTTCCTGCAGCCTGTGCTGCTCTGTGGGCCATCCTCCGGTTTCTCCTGAGCCCTGCTGAGGTCCTAGCCCACAAGCCTGGCAAACAGGCGCCCCAAAGGCGGGCATGGAGGCTCCACTGGCCACTCAGCTAAAAGGCAGCTTTCTCAGCGCCGACCGCCCCAGGCGGAGTTTGGTGCTGTGCTTTGGCCCGCCTTGGGGGATGGGAGGTAACATTCCTTGGCCCTTTTCAGAGTCCATCACTGCCTCTTGACCATGTGACATTACACCAAACCTTACATGATGGATGGAGTGAAATCAGAAAACAGCTTTGCTTGTTGCCTACCCTGCCAGCCTGTCTTGTCCTGTTCTGGGAGAGAGTTCTTCCCTACACCCCGAGTGAAGTTAGGGCAGTCCTCATGATGTACAGAGAAGTCTCTCTGATCATCCCACTGCAGCAATTGGTCAATAATATAATCCAGTGTCATTCTTAAAACTGAACAGAAATTCAGTTTCTCCCGACTCATCCGCTGCAGCCTGAGCCTGTCCGAGGAGGAAAGTGTGTGTGTGTGTGTGTGTGTGCCTCATGTGGCCTATTCGTCCGTTCCCCCAGTCCTTCCTCCCTCGCACACTAAGCTGCCTTCTCTGGGGGGGGTGGGATAAGGCTCAGGAAAGGTGTTTGACTGGCACCGTTTAGACACTGGTTTCTCTGGACCGTAGGGTGTGCTTAAACAGTTTGTTGTTGCTGTTGGGCGGGTACTTTCATGCCATAGGCTCTTGGGAGACCCCCACCACTGAGAGTTCTCCTCTTGGCCGTCTCGTGACAAGGACAAACCTCTCCGCCTCCGGGTGACCCTCTCCAGTGGCTGGTCCTGGAAACATGCCACTCAGCCCGTCAGCCCATCCTCCCCCAAGCACAGCCCTTGCTCAGCCTCTTGCGTTTCTCAATGTGGGATGCACTCGCCACATTGCTAAGTGGTCTCCTAGGGTCCCTTTTGTCCCTCTCAAGGAGAGAGGGGTGCGCAGCGCACGCCAAGGAGCCCTCCCAGGTAAATGCAGACCCCATTCTGACTTGCATTTCCTTTGCAGAGGGAACTGCTCCTCCCTGTGTTTCTACCCACGTCTTCTCCCCGGCCTGTATTTCACATAATGTATGTGACCTTGGTATGGCACTCCCCTACCTACCCACCCCCACCCCACCCCACCCCACAGTTATTGTCACATCAACCCTTATGTACTTTTATATTAACAAAATGCTGAAAGGCGTTTTTTCAAAAGGAGACATTTCAGTCTACTTCCCACTTGACTCCTGAATGCCCCCAAGTTATCTTTCCTGAGGGAGAGTTTTTATCAGTTTCATTTTGTGGCTTTGTGCGGTTGCTTCATTTCTCTCTCTCGTGTGCCTTTCCGTCTTTGCTCCCTCACAGCTTCCCAGCAGAGCGGGAGCTGTTGGCTGCCTCTGTGATTACCTGAGTGACTGCTAGATACCGAGAGGGCATTCTCTACAGGCTAACGAAGGGGTCCGAGGAGGAGCTTCCTTAGAGAACTGGAAATACAATTTCAATTAGGGAAAATGTCTATTTGGACAGAACTTTCCAGAAACACATAAATCAACGCAAGGCATTTGTGCCTCAGTCCTCCAGTTCAGGTTCGGCTCCTCACTGTGCACCTCCATGTTCTTGCTGGGTAGGTCTTGTTTAGTTACCTCAGTAAAGGTTCTTTACTGAGGTGTTACTGAGTAGGTACCCTGACAGTCTGTTAGAATAGTATTTATTTCCTTCCAGGCGACAGTCCTGGGTGATAACTAGGACAAATGACTTGATTTGCTACTTACCAGTGACCTCTTTCTAGCCCCACCGTCAGCCCAGGCTTAGAATGCTGGCTATTAATGAAGAATAAATACACTAAACGTAGGTTAACTGGTCTGAAGAGATTTTCTTCTCACTAAAGACAGTTTGAAGTTTACAGTAATGTTTCATCCTTTAAAAGATATGTCTTACAAAGTTAAATGTGTCCACCATATTCTTTAAATACTCATGATCTGTTCCAAATGTATTTTTGACCCAAAACATAACCGTATGTTTGTATTTTATGTTAAGATTTCTAAGAGCCCGTCTTAGAAGACTGACCATTCCCTGGCAATCTCACTCAAATTTAATGTCATGTCTTTTGGATTAGTTGTAAGAATAGCTGAGTGTCCCGTTTTTGTGCAAGATCTGTATCCACCTGAACAGAAAAAACTCAGCAATTAGATTAACCAAGTTCTATGAAAATGAAGGTTTCAGAAATTATTTGTATCACTTGTTAGGTGTGATAGAACTCTGTTGCTTAGTGACTTCTAACAGAATGATGTCCACAGTTGAGGTTCTCAGAAAGAAGGCACACGCCCGAGATTCTGAAGTGAGCGAGGGGATTGTGTTGTTTTTGTAAAACAGGTGAGGGCAGGTTTTAAGGGAAACACTGAGGTAACAGGGACTTGCAACAACATGAAGCCATTACTGCCAGCCATCACCACCATCAGGACAAAGCTCAGTGAGAGCTGGGCTTGATCAGCAGAAGCTATTGTCTCTAAGGTACTCTGTCTCCTGTAGGCCCAACCATAGGGCTGGTCAGTAGTGGTTAAGCCCTTGGCCCTCCATCTCCAGGGGCACTGAAGAAGAGGGAACAGGCAAAATGTTGAATGAAACACATTTTGACTAGCCTAAAGGGGTCAGTCCATAATTCATTTTAAGCGGAATGATTCTCATAACCTTATAATGTTACTTACCCACCACTAAGGATTATTTTTGCAGCAATCCAGATATATGCTGATGTCATCTATTCTCAGACACTTGTACCATCAGCAAATATTGGTCGACATTTGGCCAGGACTAAGCAAATCTGAGGTCCTTAACAGAAGTAATAGAATACTTCTGAAATTTCTCCAGAAATTAGGAATCATTTCAAATAATAATTCAATTGAAGAAGTCCGCTACCAGTAAGAGTGTATATAAATGGCCAGTTAAAAAGCAAGAGATCTTACCTACCAATTTAGCTTAAATATCCCTACAGCATCCACACTAAGCCTTGTATTTATTCCTAGTATTACAATGAAATAGCTTGAAAACATGGCTTGATAGAACCAAGATGTTTGGTGGAAAACAAAACCAAGTATTTGCACACACCTACACCGCAGTCCAACTGGTGTGAATCCTCAAAGCTGGAAACCCTAAAGTGAAATGGTAGGGGTAGAAGTGGTGCACAGCACAAGACAGGATTGTGAACTTACTGGAACTTACTGACCTGTAATGACAATTGCCATGGCACATCAAAAGTGGTAATCCTGGATAAAATAGAAGGGGCAACATTTTTAGTGCACAGCGGAACTCAAAAGCAAGAAAGCAAAAGTCTACAGATACAAGAAACAAAGAAGGGACTCAACCCTACAATTAAAATAATTGGGCACCAAACTGAGGAACCTCATGGAGGAATTGGATCCAGATGTCTGAGAGTGGGGTTGAATGAACTGGAAATATCTCCAGCCTGTGCAGAGCTCTTTGGTTCAGAAAACAGGGACTAGGATAATTCTAGGACCAGATAGGAGACAGAGCAAGGAAACTGTCTATCCCTTAGAAAACAGAAGCCCAAATGGGCCCCAAGCCAGCTATATAGTCTGATCCACACCATTTGAACCAAGAAAGCAGAGTTGAGAAAATGATACAAAGACTCGTCCTTACAGAGAAAACAAAACTGTTTTATAAGTTGGTAGCCCCTGAGATGTGCAATTCCCACAGAAATAGCTCTCAACAAAGCTGAGCTCTCTGGTAGTCCTAGGTGAGATTAGAAAGCACGAAAGAGAAGCAGTTTTGAAGATCCAGCAAAATATTTCCAAAATTAAAATGATCTTGATGCAGATTGATGGAATGTAGCCCCAAGACAACCAAATACAAAATTCCAAACATATCGAAGTGAAATGGTAGGACAACAAAAAATTAAGAAAAAAATAATTAAAATTAGCTGAGGAAAAAATATTGGCTATAAAATGACAGATGCAAGCAAATCAATAGTAATATATGCCATGGGACTAAAGTACTGAGGGAAAATCTTAAACCTGATTGTCTCACCAAATAGAAGGCAAAATAACTCCAGGTTATAAAAACTAGGACTTACTACTACCTGATGCTATCAAAGGAGCTATTTCAGCAAGAAAGGAACTCAACTTTAAAGGTAGGAGATGACACAATAGTGAATAAATGATTTGTCATTTTGGTACATCTAGGTACATATTTGACTGTAAAGTCACATAATTCTGTAGCAAATTTGGAGTCAACTGTGGAGGGGCAAAGTAAGTTGGAACAATGCTAGCCAAAAATTATATGAAGATGGTTAGGGCAAGAATAGGGGAGGAGTTAGGAGTTGAAGGTTCTTATTTAAGGATATGAGAATATTGATACCTAAAAGAGGGGTGTAAAAACCACAAGATTGGGCTAAAAATAGAGATTAAGATCTAGTTGACCTTCCAAGCTAAAACCTTAGAGCTCTAAGCAACCACACTTTAGTCTTTTAATGACTGATGCATCTTTTGTGTTTTTCTAGAGGTATATAAATGGGACGGACACCTCTCTCTCTCTGGAAGACTTACTTCAGTTGCTTTCATCACAGCCTGAAAATTCACTGGAGGTAACTGGAAGATTGTCTTTTATCCTTGCAGGAATATATCTGCACTGACCTCTCAATAAATAGAACCTGGATGACATAGTTTAAATATAAACTAATACATTACTATTATTTGAGCATACAGACATATGATTATTTTATGTAAACACTTCAACTTCGGAGAATTAACCAAATATGTAAATACTATTCCTCCAAGTAATCACAAAGGTCTAATCAAATTTGCATAATTCCTATTGAATCAAATTTATATAGTTCATATAGAATCAAAATGGCAGTCAACATTTGACAAACTACCCTGTTTCCCCAAAAATAAGACAGTGTCTTATATTAATTTTTGCTCCCCAAAATGTGCTAGGTCTTATTTTCAGGAGATGTCTTATTTTTCTATGCGCTAGTCTTATTTTCGGAGGATGTCTTATTTTTGGGGAAACACGGTAAGCCATAGCTTTATATTTTTGGTACCATTTGTCATCATACTTTATTGGTCTGATCTACTTTATTTTTAAATATATTTTATTGGCTTTTTACAGAGAGAAAGGGAGAGGGATAGTTAGGAATATTGATGAGAGAGAACCATTGATCAGCTGCCTCCTGCACACCCCTTACTGGGGATGTGCCTGCACCAAGATACATACCTTGCCAACGCTCTGTCTACTGAGCCAAACCAGTTAGGGCTGATCCACTTTTTTAGACACACATACACATACACAACACTACTTCACTACTGTTATTATCCATGATCCTCCACAGTGTGGATTTAGATTGCTAACAGTTAGGATGAGAATGGCATCTTATACAATAGTAAAATATACAGTAAGACTAGAACATTAGAATGTTATAACTAATCTAATTAAGCTTTATAAATTGCCATATTAGAACCATTATACCCACAAATATAGCATATCCTGACTTGGGTTCTCTTGATGTATTCAGTTGCCCATATTTAACTGGGTAAAGTTGCTATAGCCAACAGCATATCTCTACTTACATAGCAGATAAAACTGAGGAAAGAAAATGGTGTATTGGGTACTAGAACTATTGAAATTGAACTGTATTAAAGTGCTCTTTTCCCTCTTTCAGGGCATCTCCCTGGGAGATATTCCCCTTCTCCCAGGAAGTATCAATGATGGGCTGAATTCTTCAGCATATTACAATGTGAATTTTAGCCAGGCTATAAGTCACGATGTCAACCTCCATGAGGCCATGTTACTGTGTCCCGACAATGCGTTTAGAAGAGACCCGGCAGGAAGGACTTCACAGTCACAGGAACCGTTTCTCCAGTTACATTCTCACACCACCAATCCTCCACAGCTCCTCCCTGGAACTAATTTAACAGCATTTCTTCCACCTGTTGACCATCAGACAAGGAGTGTAACAAGCCATGACCTTCTCTGTGACCTTGATATAAATATATTTGATGAGATAAATTCAATGTCTTTGGTGACAGATTTTAATCCAATGGAAGTTTCTCCCCTTTTTGGAGAACCCGATTCCGATTCTGGACTTTCCTTAAATTCAAGCCATAACAGCACCTCTGTCACCAACTCTAATTCCTGTGTGTGTGACAGTGCCATAGGTTCTAGCAGTGACCTTGAATCTCTTTCCCACCCTGCTTTAGAAGGGGCTGTAGGCGGCTACTACCCAGAGCCCAGTAAGATTTGTCACATTGATCTTAGTAGTGATTCTTTCCACGGGGACCTAGCATTTCAACATATATTCCATAACCACACTTATCACTTACAGTCAAGTGTACCAGAAGCCATTTCTGAGTCTTTTTCATGGCCTGGGAAGCCACAGAAAATGAAAAGTAGGTACCTGAATGACACAGACAGAAACTTAAGCCGTGATGAACGCCGTGCTCAAGCTCTGCACATCCCTTTTTCTGTAGATGAAATTGTCCACATGCCTGTTGATTCTTTCAACAGTATGCTAAGCAGGTACTATCTGACAGATCTACAAGTGTCACTCATCCGTGATATTAGACGAAGAGGGAAAAATAAAGTTGCCGCTCAGAACTGTCGAAAACGCAAACTGGATATAATTTTGAATCTAGAAGACGATGTATGTAACTTGCAAGCTAAGAAGGAAACCCTTAAGAGCGAGCGAGCCCAGTGTAACAAAGCCATTAACATCATGAAAAAGAAACTGCACAACCTTTATCGTGATATTCTTAGCAGGTTAAGAGATGATGAAGGTCGGCCTGTCAATCCAAACCAGTATACTCTTCAATGCAGCCAGGATGGAAGTGTTTTGGTTGTGCCCAAGGAACTGATGACCTCAAACTACAAAAAGGAAGCTCAAAAGGGAAAGAGAAAAAGTGAGACAAGAAATTGAAAATAGACTGATTCAATTAATATGTGTAAAGTAGTAATAATGCTCATATGCTCAAGAACCATTGAAACTGCTTCAAGGTTTGCTCAAGCATCTTTTCAGCACTGTTACTTGAATCATTTAAGGCTACATTTTGAAGCTTATATGGACAAGTTTAGGTCTTCAAAAAGATGTGGGAAATCTGGGGAAAGCTTCCTTTCGTGAAGTCGTCCTGTTAATATGCACAATTCATAAGTATGGACAGAGTAAGGTGACAAAAAACTTGATAGGATTAATGACTCACTTTGGAAGCCATTTTCTAATAAGATGGTCACTTCAAACATAACACTGGGTGTCATTATTTTAAAACGTATCTTAGTTTTTAACTTGAAATGCAAAGTAGCCTTAACATTCTCATTTAGGTAGCACTGAGCTTTTCAAAAGCTATTTTATTAATCCTTAAATTATAACTTTTTCTCTGTGGAAATGAATTTTATACTTGAATTTATTTAAAAAGTTAACTTCTCCCTTACATAGAGACATTCTAAGCAAATTTACCTTAGCTATTATTTCCTCCAAACGCCCATTCAGGAATATAGGTAAATATCTAGCAAAATAGGACAACATGGTAAGACTTGATCCAAGTTGAACTCAACCTAGTCTGTTAAACTAGTAAGGGAAATCCCCATTAGGATTTAACAATACTATGTGAAATAAGGGCTATAAATGGCCAAATTATAAACCATGCTGTCCAAAAAACTGCAGGCTTTAATGGCTGAGAACAAAGACCTCTACAGTCACAGATTTTAGAGATAAGCAAGACTACCTATGCATAGCTCATCACTCCCAGGCAAGTAAGGCAGCCTATGGGGATGACCTCACATCCATAACATTGACGTCTCACCACAAAACTCAGATTCATGGGAAAACGTTAGAGACCATACATGAACATATACACCAAGAGCAGGGGAAGAGGCTATGAGCATATACTCTACAACCAAAGAACTGGGAATACTGAAACCACAAGAAACGGCAGTAAAAGAAAAAAAAATGGACTTGAACAGAAAAGTCACTAATCCTATAAATAAACTGAAATAGAAGTTAACAATGTTCGATTTCAAAATAAGGTTGTCAGATATAATTATTTGGCTAACAAAAGTCAAAGTATTATCGTGGTTTGCAAAAATGCAGTTTTGTAAGAGTGGATTTTTTATAATAAACTTCCTCCACTTTTAACTTGGCCTACTCATTTCTTTCAAACCCTAGATCAGCGGTTGGCAAACTGTGGTTCACGAGCCATGTTCAGCTTGAGTGCTGCGGTTTTTGCCACTGTTGACTAATTTGAGTTTGTCCTAGATTATGCCACAATAATGCTCCTAGATATAAACATCACCTTCAGTTTTGTGCAATCACATTGAACGTTGATAGGCTGGCTCTGCAAAGGAGTATTCTCTAGATGTCCTGTTATTTAAACCATAGCTTTAGGGCATTTTATGACAAACTGGTTAAGTCTACAATGTTAAGATTCTACAATACTGATTTGTGTGAAGACTTCAAACTGTTACAAGTCCTATTACTCAAGTATTGTTCTGACTCCCCAAATCTCTGGACCTACCAAGACAATACAGGTGGACAGCAAATTGGCCAAAAAGAAAAAAGGCATGTAGTGTAGCAAGTTTGAGTAACAAAACTGTCCCTCTAGAAGTTACTGTGACCCATTATAACTTTAGGTCATGTCAAACTTCCCTTAACCCACACCACCAGATTCAAGGTGAGAAAAAAATTGAAGCTGTTGACTCAACTATCATTGATAGTCCAGTGTTAGCAATGGAAATCTCCAAGATTTTAGTTTGTATTCTCTACTTAGATTAAGGAACATGATACACAATGATTAACAACTATTTTACTAGTTCAGTAGTCTCAAATTATTCTGGAATTCAGGGTAGTTATCAGAAAAAGGAATCCATCCAATCTATACAGCCTCAGACATCAGGAACTGATCATTTTCAAAAGGCCAATTTCTAATGCAAGTTTTATGCATTTACAGGGTGAAACTATTGACCCATTCTTTTATAGCTAAACCAGACAAGTTAATCTAACATGAGTAGGCAGTTAAGACTTTGAACTGAGAAACAATCCCTTCAAAAAGATTTGTACAAAATGTGTTCTCAATTTGGTATGAAGTTTAAAAACAAACCTTAAGTGGTCCATAAGATCTAGACCCTTAAAATGAGCAACTGTGCAGTTAGTCCTTAAAGCAGCTTTCTCAATTGACCCAAACCAAAATTCCATTTTAAATTCTAACATAAAAATATTGTCTCCTTTAAAAATAGTATTATTCCTGAAATTATCCATCATAAAACACCTGTTAATAAGTGAAATTGGGCATACTATTCTAGCTGGGCATCTCCTTCCTACACCCATCAAAAGGTGGTTCTGATCAACAAATGAAAATCTTGGGGCAAGCTTATATATAAAATCAGAAAATGTTGAGCTCAAGAACCTCTAGATATTCTGATGTTATCTCTGGAAAGGCACTTACCCACTTTTGAAATCTCCCTAAATTACTGAATTTAAACATCAAATTAGTTATACATTTAGTACTAGTTGTTGAAGCATTCCTAAACCAAATTATTGGGTATCTCACATTAAATTCCAATTCTCAAGACCTGTGTGGGAATCAGCCTGTAATCATGCTTAAAAACTTTATACTATCCAATCATCAGAATACAAGAGGGTGTGACTTAGCAACATTGGTCCTATTTTGATATTTCTTGTTCTTGAGATTGCTATGGGGGGAAATAGTCAAGAACAGCTTGCCAGCCCTGTCATGCCATTGGAACGAAACTTTCCAGTTGTCTCTGCAATTATGACCTTCAAATAGGATCAGGTAAATTGCTCCCAAATTGGTAACATGTAAATACTGAGGTCACAAGTTTATTGGGCTTATGCAGTATTTTTTTATTTGTCCTATCAGCAAGTTTTAGTATGTGGTGACAAGAAGCTTGAAAGAACTGCCCCGGTTACCGTCTTTTAGAAATTTTGATAGAAAAACTACCTTAAGTTCTAAGGGGAAATTGTTTCAATAGCCACTTCATTTAGTTTATTAGGAACTAACACTTTAAATCCTCACCAGGTATTTTTCCAATTGATTTTTAGAGTGGGAGGGAAGAAATAGTAATTCGTTGCCTGCTGTAGTGGGCCCCTGGTTGGGGCTGGGATCAGGCCCGCAACCTGTTACATGCCCTTGACTGGAATTGAACCTGCGACCCTTTAGTCTGTGGGCTGATGCTCTCCTCTCTAAGCCAAAAACAGTGCATAGTTGGTTAAGGATTGGGTGTTTTAAGGTTTCTGACTTCATTTACCTCAAGGTCCAACTTAGTTGTCAAGCTAGACACTTCGGAAACCTTCCAAGTCATTTTCTAATTTGAAGCCGAGTATTAAGAAAGTGTACTTGAATAGTTATTTGAAACAAAAACGGCTTTTCTTGTTAGCCATCATTAGTGTGACTTACCTGATACTTTATATTATCAAAATTAAAGAAAATGAGACAGCCTTGGCATTTCTTTCATGTTTTTATGCTTTTTGTTTTTTTTAGGTAAATATCAAAGGAAGTCACCATTACTAAATTTTATCCACCATACTTCTTAAACCCTTTAAAGACAACTACCCAGTACTCAGTGAAAAATGCAACCACTTTAAGAAACTAGAGTCACAAATTTCGTGTCTTGGTGCTTTGCATAACCACTGAATTTGTACCACTGTTTAAAAGCCTGTAATAAATTTTTAAAACGCCACCAGGGATGTTGAACACACATGGTAAAGCCAGAAAACTATAGCAGCATTCCAACGCTGAATATAGTGTATAAAAGAATGGCATTTTATTAGGGACAGCCAGTAATGTCCACAATGGTTTTTTTCATGTCTAATAAAATGGAAAAAAGGGAAATATGTACAGTTTTGTGAAACTGCTTTAAAAATCTAATGATGGCAATTCTTTAGACAACTGAATGCTTATAGAACAAGATTCACACATTTTATGTGTAAACATTACACCAAGTATTTGGATACAAAAGTATTTATTTTTATAAACTTTATATTTAAAATAAAACTTTAATCTGTCTACTCACAAAACCTAATTTAAAACATGATACATTTATCTCTCTAGCTGATTTGATGCTTTTTACAAACAATACTCAACTTGTAATGGTTTTATATTAAGAACCTATACTAAATGAAGTTTGTTTTCAGAAAACATTTCCCTTTGATCTTAGAGTGCTTTTTAAAATGAAGGCACCAACAACTACTTTCAGATGGTACAGAATTTCTTATTTCTTGAAGACTCTGTGGTTGACCACTTCTTCATTAGTTACCTGCAGCAAGACACCTTCCTGCCAAAGGAAAAAAAAAGTATCTGAAGAAGTTTATCATGTTTGTCCAAAGAACCTAAATAACTTCTGTGGTGGTCTTAGGATCAAAGACGACTCACTGGTGCATAGAGCAGAATATGCCCTGATTATCACTTCCTGAAAAGGCAATAAAGCCAGGCAATCAAACTCTGATGATGACATTTAAGAAATGAATTTCAGCAGCGAACCTATATCTTTCCTATAAGATAGGGAATTGGGAAAGAACCACACTTACACCCCAGTATTTAGTACTAAATATATACAGGATTTATAATGTAGACAGACACTGTGAATATGCTATTATCTGAAATCTGATTCAGCCATTTAGCCCTATCTCCTTAGCGTAATCCTGATAAGCATGTAAAACTAGAACCATAAAGTAAAATGTATTTTTAATAAAAACCCCAGTTCTCAAAATGCTTGATCCAAGAAATGTGAATACACATGGGTGTTAATGATGGGAAATTTCATGGTTTATTGAGCTTGCAGCCTAACTTTTACCTACCATTTTACTACCAACACCACTGAAGGAACCAAGAAAAGCTTTATTAATCACTTGGCTTGCCTCAGCTGTTGAAATGAAGCACTTTACAGTCTTTGTGGCAGCAGAATATACTTGTCCATGGTTCATATCAATGCTAAAATTCCAGCAGGGAAAAAAATGATATGTTAAGCACCTGAATCTTCATAGAGGGAGAGGGGATGGGAAAGAAAGAAAGGGGGGAAAGGGGGGGGGGGGACACACAACCAAAATAATTTAAGTAACTGACAGACTGGAAGACAGGGTTTATGAAATTATTCTCTTGAGTTTATAAATTGTTAAACTCAATTTATAGCTATGTTAAACTACTAAGAATCACTATACTGAAAGACCATTGAAGAGAATTAGTTTATCTTTTGGGGAGGAAAATTAAGAAAGGAAAAGTAAATAAGATCTTACCTAAAGAAGTTTAACTGAAGCTTAGAACTATTTGCTCTACACCCTCAGCTTTCGTTGGCATCCTTATAAACTACTGTAGTTAAAAGCTTTGTAGAAACAGCACAATTTTTTAAGACTGGCTGAACTTAGTAGCCGCCAAGAGTTTTCTTGTACTAGACCTGTATCCCTGAAGAGTACCTCGCTGGGGTTATTTCCTTTCCTTGCATTGAAGAAGCAGCATCTAAAAGATCTAAAAAGGTGTTTCTCCTTGCAGAGATATCCCTTAAGTTATCTAGATAATCCTGATGAATTGCAGACAACACACTTATATCTGACCAGCATTTATCTTACACAAATATAACAACAGCTTTGCAATGGACCTTAGTTATACTACCCACTCCTTAACTTATTTAAAATAAAAAGTCTATAATTACACAATTTCCTTTAGAATTATTTTATTAAATCATAAATGTACAACAGCTTCTTAACTCTACACACGCACTTAAATTTTTTTTAAAGGAAAAACGTTATGTCTTATTACACCATGATCCTGGCTAATAGCTTTTCAAAACTTTGAGAAAAATCTTAAAAAAGGTTTCACATGTCACCTGAAACTTACAAATTTAACATTATCAAAGAAGGAATGCTTCTACACTCTTACAAAGACCACTAGAAATAAACAACAATTAAAAAGCTAAGAAACTGTCTCAAAGGCATTTTTTTTACAATCCTTCCTCCACAGTAAGGTAATGTTATTAAATAATCCAATCCATTCACAAAATGGCTCTCTGCATCTGCTCTGGTGTCTTCTGCCATATCACTGCATACTTATGCATGACTGAGATAAGAGTTTCCTTAACATTGTTATTCGATAACCTGAAGCTGTTCTGTTACCTCTGGGCTCTCATCCTCTCCTATTTATACAGTGAAGCCTGTTTCAACAGAAGTAAAGAGTAAAAAAAAAAATAGGTTATGAAATTATCCATCTAACCAGGTTTTAAGGAAAGATAACATGATCCTAAAAAGCTTTTACTCCTGACAGCTAGGTCTCCCCAAGACAGTAATAAAGTAAAACTCAAAAGCTACTTACCCATGGCAAATAGGAAGAAGCTCAATAGCGGCTCCTCCCTCCATAGCCCCCACTTCCTCCACTTCCTCCAGGACCATAGTTTCCTACAACAGGACAAAAGCAAGCTTACTTCATTTCCCACAATCACCACAATTGATTATTAATCCTACCTACCTAGCTATCATTTGGAGCCAGTAAGGAAGGTATATTTAAAAAAAATACTAAGAGGCATAAAGAAATCTATTTGGTCCTACTACATAAAAATTTGAATAAAGATCGGTGATTAATATTTAAAGAGACAACTCATACAAATGTTTAACTCTTGGCTATGTGTTTGGCAATTTTATTTGGCTCTCATATAATCAGTCAAGGGGGAAAAAACCCCATGCAAAATATCTAACCTACTTTCCCAAATTGTGAATACAGGGAGGGGTACAAGTAGGGTTACAGCTGTGAGCACACTCAACAGTCTTTCCCCCTATGAATTGTAAACCTTTTTGCCCCACCTTGTATTTTACATCACTTAACATCCTAACTACCCATCACACCAAATCCAAGCTAAAGTTATACTAATTGAATTATTTCTGAGAAGTTTGGCGACCTTTTAAAACCAGGGGTGGGAAACTCTCAACCCTCAAAATCATTTGATCTGCAAGGGAGTAAACTAAATGTTAGACCAAATATATTGGGCTACTTTTTAAGTAGATAATTTTGCACTGCCCTCAAACATTATAAATATCCTAATGACTCTTGGAAGAAAAAGGGTTCCCCAACCCTGCTATAAACCATGAGCATGTTATCTTTCCCATTCAAATCATGTCAAAAACTCATCTTTTCCTCTAACCCCACGAAATGACTTAAAAAGGATGTAACAAATTACCTCCACCATATGGTCCCCCCATGTTCCTGCTACCACCAAAATTTCCACTCTTCATCGGACCATAGTTAGATGGTTGCTGGTTATAATTTCCAAAATCATTGTAATTTCCACTTCCATAATTTCCTGTAAAAATAAAAGTTTAAATTCAAGTTTTGCATAATGACCCTCAGATTTAACAAACAAACAGTAATACATGCCAAGTATTTACAACAAATCTCCCAAAAAAGCAAATCAGAATAAATGCAAAACACCTATCTACAATTCTACAATTTTAAGGCAACTACTGACAACAATGAATTGAAAAAAATGTCATTAAAAGTCATTAATTCCACTCCAAATTCCCACATAAAGGTTGCAGGTGAATTTATTACCTCCTCCATAGTTGTCATAACCACCTCCGTAGCCCCCACCCTGGTTGCCATATCCAGGTCCTCCACCACCATATCCTCCTCTTCCTCCTCCATAACCAGGGCTACCTCCAAAATTGCCACCTATTATAAAATAAGCCTTTAAGTAATTGCTTAATATTTTCAATGCCATTTGAACTGTCTTATCAAACCCATTTCTAGATTTCCAAAACATATTTTTTATATTTGTTCTATGCAATCTCTTCTAGAATAGCCTCAAGGGCAGAACAAAGTATCCCTGATAAAATGAGGGGATTGGGAGTACAAACCCACAACCAACTAGATAAAACCATTAGAGACAAATACCTATCAGTGTCTCTGCTCTTCCCTGAAATTAAAGGTATTAATGGTTAAGACACCTTGTATTTTGTTTCTGAGGTAGATGAGGTGTTAAGCTAACAAAACAAGAGCCACCCCATCACCTTAAGTGGTCCAAAAGGTCCCAACTCAGATTTGTTTCCTAATAATATGCTCACTACACCCTTCACCTAAGTAGAAATGGGGTGTCAGAAATTAGCAAACTGATGGGCAATTAATTTGGATTTCAAAGCAATGTCGGAAATATGCAGGTGTAACTTAGTTATGTGTAATTTGTGACAAAATCAGTGTTTTGCTAACTCATGTTGAAATGTCTTTACTAGGAATTTGCCAGCAGCTATCAATCATTTCTGTACTCCAACAAAACATCTAATATTATCACTTAATATGTAACAGTGGCTCATAACCTTAGCTGGACCCAAGAGTACTCTTGCATCCTATACCACAACTATTCCCTTTTCTAAGGTGTGAATTATAAAGGAAAAGCCAAGTGACTAAAACAACTATCACTCAAAAGCTCTTCATCAAAGGTAAAACGTAAGACACAGAAAAAGCTCATGTATGTATTAAACTAGACAAACATACAGCAGAATTTAATCTTTTAAGCCCCATAAATCAAAGAAACTGACCTCCAGGTCCTCCTCCATACCCATTATAGCCATCCCCAAATCCACGACCACTTCCATAGCCATCTGTTAGGGGGTAAAAAATCATGTTAAATATACCTATTCCGTTTCTTATCTTCCTTTCCTCCATATTCTCTATTACTACCTATGGATGACTAGGAGGAACTAAAGTATTAGCACTTTATCCTTCAAAATAAACACAAAGTATAATTCATTAAAACTCAGTCAAGAAAACTGCCTAATTTAAGGGTTTGGACTTGGCAAACTTTGATTTAAGAGATTCCATTTATTTACATAATGACGTTAATTATTCAGATAAATATTTGGAAGCTTAATAAAAAGTTTTAATAGCCAGGACCAGTTTGGCTCAGTGAATAGAGCGTCAGCCTTCGGACTGAAAGGTCCCGGGTTCGATTCCGGTTGAGGGCATGTACCTTAGTTGCAGGCACATCCCCAGTAGGGGTGATCGATGACTCTCTCTCATCCATGTTTCTAACTCTTTATCCCTCTCTCTTCCTTGCTGTGAAAAATCAATAAATTAAAAAAAAAAAAAAAAAAAGATTTAACAAAGATAGGTAAAGTTTCCATAGTATTTTCACTCACTATTCAGGATTACTTGGTAGTTTTAAAGCCATTTTAAATGTTCTTAAAGACCACAAAAAAGATTTCTGTAATTGACCGACCTTTTTATAAAAAAAAATATTTTTTATTGATTTCAGAGAAAGGGAGACGAGGAGAGAAACATCAATGATGAGAATTGATTGGCTGCCTCCTGCATACCTCCTACTGGGGATCAGGACCACAATATAGGCAAGTGCCCTTGACCAGAATGGAACCTGTGACCATTCAGTCCTCAGGTCAATGCTCTACCCACTGAGCCAAACCAGCTAGGGCTGATTGTCCTTTATTAGCTTTATGATTTACCTCTTATCTTTCCTAGCCTAATCAGAATAACCCACCTACTTAAAAAAATTACCTTCTTGAAATTAAACTGATTTCATGATTCTAATAAAAGTTTTCCAATCAAGCATATTCATCCTTCAATATTTAGAACTTAAAACTTACCAGATCCTCCTCTAAAGTTACTTCCTGGTCCAGGCCCAAAATTTCCACCACCACCTCGAGAGTCTCCAAAACCAAAGTTACCTACAATAAGTGCCCTAATTAGTAAAAAGCATTCACATAAAAAAAAAAATGTTTAAAAGGGGAAAAAAAATAGAATTAAAAGGTACCTCCTCTTCCGCTTCTAGAACTTTGAACTTCCTGCATTTCTTGTCTAGACAAAGCCTTTCTTACTTCTGCATTATGACCATTGATGGTATGATATTTCTGCACTGGAAGGGAAAATTCAGACTTCAATAAATCAGCATTCTATAAATTGTAACTTATAAATTACTTCAAAGTTTGCCTCTTCGTAAAGATGTAGGTATTAACATACCAAAACAATCTATGAAAGGGGCATACATCTAGTTCTTATATACTTACACACAATCTTATCCACAGGATCATGGTCATCAAAAGTAACAAATCCAAAGCCTCTCTTCTTTCCAGACTGCCTATCAGTAATTATCTCAATGGTATCAATTTTCCCATATTCTTCAAAGTAATCTCTAAGGTGATGTTCCTCAGTATCTTCTTTAATTCCACCAACAAACAGCTTCTTCACAGTCACATGAGCCCCTGGCTTTCCAGATTCCTGTAGTAGTAAGTAGAAGGGTCAAATCATGACCATAGAAACCAAATGCGATTGAAAGCATCTCTGGGTACATAAACTGTTTCTATCCTATGGTAAAATACCAGATAACGCAACAGCTTATGAATAAGAAACTCGTCTTTGGGAAACCACCATAGCTTAAATCAAGCTAACTAAAAAGAACTAAGTTCTTTCAAAATTTATATTTTATCTTCAGTAAGAAACTTCACATTTATTGCACGAAGTTATGCTATGCTCACCTCTCTTGCAACAGCACGTTTTGGCTCAACCACTCGTCCATCAATTGAATGAGGTCTTGCAGCCATGGCAGCATCAACCTCAGCCATGGACGAAAAAGTTACAAAACCAAATCCTCTTGATCTTTTGCTTGCAGGATCTCTCATTACCTTTAAAATCAAAGGAAAAGTAGCATTTGATCTAGTTATTCTTCAATTAATAGCATTTTTAAATTAAGGACCTAGATTTGTCATTTTCTCCAGGATTCACTCAGTATTTTAAACAAATCAGCCCAACAGTTGAAGGACTAGTATGTAAAGGCATTTTTATGTATTTAACGTACCACACAGTCTGTAAGTTTCCCCCATTGCTCATAGTAGTTCCTCAAACTTTCTTCTGTGGTTTCAAAGCTCAAGCCACCAATAAAGAGTTTACGGAACTGTTCCTTTTCTCTCTGCAAAGGAAAACACCATTTCAATTTTTATTTACATTTTCTCTTTGTATGCAGGAATTTAAATTCTTAAATATAAGGTGACCTGCTGGCAGAGTACCTTTTTCCTCTCCAAAGGAACAGTTTCTAAAGTTTTCTGGAGGGAAAAAAAAAACTTACATCAAATTTTAACCATATGTTAAACTGTATATTAGTTGTGTTACACCAAAAAATTTCGTCAGCTGTACTACACGTTTTAAAGTCATATGCTTCATTTAAACTTGACATTAATTCATATAAATTAAGTATCGCTTAGCTTAAAAAAAATACTTTCTGAAGAGAAAGGAGCAAATCTATTCCCTGGTAATTGAAGAGTTAAACAATTCTCATCAGAATCTGCATTCAACCCTATATCCTAGAACAAAATTTAACATTAAATACTCAGCTTAGTTATAAAAATAACTGGTTCTTTACAACCCATAGTTTACCATTTAGGATTTAGATACAAGTGTCTGATTTGTTTCATTTGCTCCCTCTGGTGGAAATTCTAATGTATCACAATAAGAAAAAAATCCTTTCCCCACTTACCAACTACTTTTGGTTGGGGTAAAAATTTAAATGTTCAATATATATAGCAAAATATCCTTAAAATTCACTCTGACCAGCTAAAGATTGTTTATATCTTAAAAAGCAATAACCACGATTTCCTGGGCACTCTAATTTCTGGTACTTAAATTGACAATTCATAAACAAGCTGAACGCATATAGGGCTAAACACCAGTAAGTCAGTAAAAACACTGTAATCATTTCACTGTTCAAAAATTTCAATGAGCACTGGGACTACTACCACTGGGGGAAATATAGAAAGCTCAAGTGTACTGAAATTATTGGACATCCGACAAGATACACAACATACGCTTTTCTAATTTTACAAGCAAAAAGCCTATGCTGAAATCTTAATCCCCACAAGCCAGCAAGCAAATATTGCTGCTTTATCAGTCTTGAATTTGGAGCTAACAAGTATAGATTGGAAATCATTTGGTTTTCAGGTAAATTAAAAACAAAAAATTAGAATAGGTCTGCTGCCCATGACCAACTGCCATGAATGTGCAATGTAAACTAAAAGATTAAATTAATGTGATTTTCGATACACCAGTTTATTCCCAAATAGCATTATAACTCTCAATCCAGTAATATGCCGGCTTTGCCATGGGCGCATGACATTCTGCCAATAACAAAAAATACACTGATAAAGCAAGCCAGACAATTTTTTACTCAGTTAACTGCTTTCAAGAATCTGGGGGGGGGGGGATAATGTAAAAATTAACAAATTATCAAAATAGCTCCAAGTACATTTAAATGTCAATATGTTAAAGCGATTACTTTGAATATGGATATATTAACTAATTTCACTTACTGAATTGTCAGAATAGGTGTTTAAACCCAAAGTAAATAACCGAGATTAAAAAAGTGCAAATACAACAAATTTTTCAAATCACTAGACAAAAGCAAAAGCTTATTACTTACCTAAGTTTTCTCCAAACTTACCCGATGTCCACTATCGATTAATTTTACAAGGGAGCACAGGGTCAAAGAAAATGCCCAGATAGACCCACCCCCATTCGCTGTAGACCTTATACTTATCAATGTAATGATCAACCATGATTGCAAACATAAATGGAAAAAGTGACAAAGTTCAAATACATAACGGCCCAGCCAAAAACCTATCTACAGCAATACACACAGGCACTGAAGGACTGAGTCTAAGGATAATCGTTTCTATTTCACTTCCTCTTACTTATAAGAATGGAAAATGCATGGTCTTTACCAGTAAAGCATAAATTTTCAGGTAAAAAATATTTTCTAGAGTACGAGAAATACAACTCAAAGGGAGTCCTTCAGGAAAATCGTTTTCAAAAATGAAGAGGCCCCCAACTATATAACCTTCCCCACACCTACCCATGATGGGCACTAATCTGACTGGGTCCCAATTTTGGTTTTATTCCTAATTGGAAAGTTGGATGCAAAACTGGCTTTTTTGGTCACCGCAAACCAGGAAAAAAACAAACCGTTACCCAGAGGAATCAGCACTGCAGAACACACGTTCCCTCTGTGCTTTGGGTCGCCCTAAAGCGGGGCGCAGCGCGTCCCCGCGAGGCCTCCGGCGCTGCCTCCGCGCCCCCCGCCCGCCGCCGAGGCCGCGCGCAATGGCGCCATTTCATCGAGGAAGGAGCGCGCCGCCAGCGAGGTGCGCAGGACCCGAGCTGGCCCCGCTCCCCACACGCTCGGCACCGCCTCCAAACCGCGGGAACCCGGCGCGGGGGGATAAAAACAGCTGCCCGCTGCTAGTTTTTGACTAAAAGGGTCCAAGCGGGAGGATTCAGACGGTTAGAAAGGAAAACGCGGCGACGACGGAGAGGGATGAAAATGGCGGCCGCCAAATCCGGCTCCCGGAGGGGTGGGGGGAGGGGAGGCGCCGCAGTCTCGCTCCGGAGGCGCCCGGGCCCGGCCAGGCGCTCGCTCGCGGGGCCGCCGGGGCCGCCCGCCGGCCTGTGGTGCCGGGGCAGGGGCGCCCCCCGCCCCCGCGCCCCGCTTTGGGCTGAAGCGGGGCCGCGTCCGCCATGCGGGAGGGATCCCCATCCCCCACCCGCAGCAGAGGGAAATGGCGCCGGCAGGCTCCAGGGTGGGGAGAGCGCTGCACACACAGGCCTCCGCAGGGGCGCCCCCTCCGCGACCGTCTCCGGGGGCCAACTGCTCCTGAGGCGGCCCGGCTCCGCGGCCGCTCTCCCCCGCGAGCCGGGGGGTTGGGGGGGGAGGCCGGCCTTCCACAATGGCGCCAACGGCCTCGCCATGCCCTTTTCCAACAACTCATTGATTTCAAACCCGTTACCTCCATCGCGGACTCAGTCGCTTCAGCCCGATTTCCCGCAGCCGAGCGAGATGAGAGAGATCTCCGCGGTCGCACGCGAGCCGGACTCGTCCTGGCGCTGTAGTGAGAACTGCCGCCGCTGGAGAAACAACAGGGCTGGAAGCACGTCCGCACGCTCAGCCGGCGCCGCCGCGAATGCCGCTCCGGCTGCGGCCGCCGCTTTTCTAGAACCTTCCCCTCCCACCAAGGCGTCCTGACGTCAGGGCGTTGCGTAAACGCCCTAACTGCCGCCCGTGGCGGGAACCCGCCACGCCCTCCTTTACGCCGAACGCGTACCCCGCCCTCCCCGCCGCCCGCGGGAGCGCCGGGCGTCGCTTGCGTAGAGCGGCTCCGTGAATTGGCGGAAGGCTCGCGCAGGCGCAGTCCGCTCTCTGGAACTGCGCGTTCCAGCCCCACTCGGCCTGAGCGCAGGGCAGGTGAGAAACGGTCGCGCCATTGGAAATACTAATACTAAAAGCTGTTGGGTGGAGCTTAATCCCCAGCCCAGAAGGTCCGCTCCGTCAGCAAGGCCTCGGCTAGTACTACCATCTGGCCTTCTGCCCCCCCCACCCCCAGGAAAAAAAAATCAGTGCAGCCTCCCCGCAACCCGTCTCCTCCCCCCGTCCCTTCCCCCGGAGCCCAGGGCTGGCTCGGACCCTTCCGGGTGCACCCAAAGCCTCTTCTAGTCAACAAGCTGCACTGCGCGCCCCGCCAGCCTAGCCCGGGTCAGTATCCTCGGGGTCCCAGTCCCCGACCCCGCCCCAGCTACGTTTGCCTCACCACCCACCTCCCGGCCCCGGGAGATACCCACCCCCGGAGCGAGGAAGTGGGCGGAATCCGGTTTTGGCGCCAGCGCTGCGGCCGGCGAAGCCGAAACGTCCCCGCCCCGAAGACCTCGGTCCTCGCCCTCGCCCTCGCCCCTCCTTCCCTCTCCCGCCCCTCCGGGGACCACCTGGCGCCACCCCGCGAACGGCAAGTAGCCGCGGTGGCCTGCACCCTCCCCGTGGGTCTGGGCTCCGGCTCCCGGCAGGCGGCGCGCGGCCCGCGGCCCCGCCTCCTCTCCGGCGCGCGCGCACCCACGCACGCACGCACGCCCGCCCCGCCCTTCGCTGTCGCGGGCGTGGGCGGCGCCAATCCCGCTTGCGGCGCAGCCCCGCGCGCGCCTCCCCGGCCCCCTCCCCCTCGCTAGCGGCTGGAGCTGAAGGCGCGCTGGGCCGGAGCCGCCGCCGGAGGAGCCGGAGCCTCGGGACGCGGAGCTGCACGGAGGCGGCGAAGTCGGTGTTTCTTTCTCTCTCTTACGGAGGTGGTGCTTACGATGCGTCTTGGGGGACCCCCCCCCCCGGCACCCCTCACCCAGTCCCCGGCTCCCACCGGACCCCGAGGCGGGGTGTGGGGCTGGGCGCGGAGACGAGGGGAGACCCCCGCCGCCGCCGCGGGCCTGGCGCGGGGCCGGCGTCGGTAAAGGGGAGGAGGTCCGGTGAGAGGGGGGAGGCGAGCGGCAGCCGCCTCACGCGGAGACAAAGCGCGTTTATTCCTCCCCTCCCCCGCCCCCGGTCGACACGGGCGGCCCCCTCCCCCTCCCGGCGGCCGCGGCGGGGCCTCTCGGGCGGGCGGCGCCCGGCCCTCCGGCTGCTGCGCGGCCCGGCGCCGGGGCCGCGGCGGCGCTCCGTTACGTGGCCGTGGCCGCGGCGGCGGGCGGGCGGGCCCCGTGGCGCAGCGCCCCGGAGCCCCCGCGCCGCGGCCTTTGTTTCTCCCCGCGGGCGCGCTGACCACGAGGCCCGGGCTCCCGAGTGGGGGCGGGGCGGGGGCCCCGGCGGGTGAGGACCGGGGTCTCGGGGGGCGGGTGGAAGTGCCCAGGAGGTGGTTTGTTTTTAAGCGGAACCACATGGTGCTGGAGCATCTTGCTGTGTGGTTTTTTTTGTTTTTTTTTTTTGAACGAGGGGCTGGAAAGAGGGAAGGTTTCACCTAGGCGACTCTTAGAGCTCTTAGGAGGCCTGCAGGGAAAATTCACGGTACCCGGGCATTTTGGTTGGGTGATTGTGTCTGGTTTTTGAACCCAACTATTTTTAAATGAATCCTGAGTGTGATGTAGATGAGATTTGTGTTGGGGGGGGGGGGGGCGATGTCTGCAGTTTTTTTGCCATGTAAAGCTGTCTTAGTACCGACGGGCCCCATAAGGTTTGTAGACCCACTTGGTTGGAATACTGATAGACTCTCAGGAATATATTACTAATCACTTACACAGCAGTTCATGTTTGCTGCTCAGTAGATTTGTATACATGGGGAGGGGCGGTGGGAATCCAAAAGACACTGTGGTTAGCTACCTGTTTGTGTCATGTAAACTTCCTTTAACTGCCATGCATTTTTCTAGTAACAGCTCTTCGAGTCTGCAATAAAAAATGGCCTCCAATAAAACTACATTGGTAAGTTAACGAAAAGCTAAAATACGTAAGGGTCTAACTCAAGTGTTTCCTCTGAAAATTATAACTTTGCATTTCGGTGATTGAGAAATTTACATCCATTTATATTCCCCAGTGCCCTCTGCCCCCAGTTTTATGGGAAGAATTAGCTGCAAAAGCAAACGCATTACATGGAGATGATTATTGATTTGGCCTAATAATTTTGATTAGGTTAAGGGATCCTAAACTTACGTATAGCACAGTATGTAACATGGAAGACTACATAAGTTTGGACAAAGCAGGAAAGCCTTTGTTGGTTGGCATATTACCTAACTCACTGTATACTGAATCCAAGAGAAATAAGTATTTGTAGTATTGCCCAGATTAAAGAAGAGATATCCAGTTAGGTAGACTGGAACAAAACTCATTGATTCTTTCAAATACTTTGGGCACATGGTCATATCTCAAAATTATTCTGAAATACAGAAGGGCCTTAAATTTTAATCATTGCCAATTTTTTTAAATATACAAAATGAACCAAACTGCACATCTATCCAGTAAGAAGAGAAGGATGGAGCATATGAGCAGATAACTTTTTTTTCTTCAGTTTCTTAAACTCAAAGTTTTACTCTTAGTTTCATTTAAAGTTCTACAAATGTGTCAAGACATTGTATGTTCAATTAAGTTATAAATTTGAAAAAAACACGAGTATTCACATGAGAATCATGAAATTCGAAGTTATGATTTCCACAATGTTTAATTCAGATACTGCATTAATAATAATTTTAAGTATACAAAGGTATTGACATCTAAATAAAACAAAACATTTGGACTTGGTTTGTACATTTTCCCCTTGAAGTTTACACTAAAGGGCAAGTTGGTGATTTATAATTTGTGTCATTGTTAGAGTGCACATGTAAATTAAATATCCTGGGACATATGAAAAATAAAACCTGTCTAGTGGACCTATGGTGTAAATGATTCTCATCAAAGCCATCAGTGGAAAATGCACAAAGCATCTTCTGTGCCCCTTCAGGATTGAATTTCAAATTTCATAATCAGTAAACCAAAGTAAATGTGATTGAATTGGCTTTATGGTCACCTATGTCCAAATATTGGATGGGAAAGGAGCTATTGCTTGGTTCTTTGGGCATGAATATATAGATACAGAAAGCAAGTAGATGCTTATATTAAAACCAGAGGCCTGGTGCACAAAATTCTTGCGGGGATGGGGGAGGTGAGGTCCCTCAGCCCAGCCTTTGGACTTTCACAGTCTGGGAGCCCTCAGAGGATGTCCCACTGATGACTTAGACCCCTTCCCCACCAAGCTGGCAGTCAGATATCCTTTGAGGCAAGAGGCGGGACAACCCCCCACTGGGGCACAGCCATGAGCCAGGCTTCTGGCTGAGCCGTCACTCCCCCTGTGGGAAGGAACTGACCACCAGGGGGCAGCTCCTGCATTAAGCATCTGTCCCCCTGGTGGTCAGTGCACATCATAGCGAATGGTCCTACCATTAGGTAGATTTACATACTTGGCCTTTTATTATATATGATTGAATTGATTTTGTACAAAATTTTTTAATCTTTATTAAGTGATTTTATCTAGTCTGAGGGTTTTTCATTTCCTGTGCTTATTTTTGTCATCTATCTTCTGTTCATCTCTTATCTTCATGGACTTATTTTGTTTGTCATTTAGGATTAGTGTTTAATAAGCTTATGTTTGCACCCAATTTTTCATTCGTCCCACTATCATGCTTACCTTCCTTTTACTGCACAGAAGCAGAAAATTATATGATTGGGTGCAGTGCCCAAGTAATTAATGTGTGTGTGCGACTCTAACTACGTAGCTTAAATGTTCTTTTGCGTTCTCTGGTATTCTGTTGTCTTTTTCTGCTTTTTTATTTTTTTAATATATTTTTATTTCCAAGAGGAAGAAAGTAGTGGGGAGAGAAACATCAGTGATAGAGAGCTAGAAACATCGGCTGCCTCCTGCAGGCCCTGCACCAGGGAATCGAGCCCGGAACCTGGGCATGTGCCCTGACCAGGAATGGAACTATGACCTCCCTAGTTCATAGGTCACCCTCAACCACTGAGCCACAACGGCCGGGCTAGTTATGTGGGGTTTTTCAAGTTTACTCATTTGCAGTTTTCTCATAACAAATCTGTTTGAATTATTAGAAAAAGGTGATTTGGACTTGGTTTCCTGCTTCTCTTAAATAGTGTTAATCTTTGAAAAAAGAAAACTAAGCTAAAAGTGAATTTTGTTGGCTACTAATTTAGATCTTTTTTTTTTCTTTCTTTCTTTCTTTAATCCCACAGGGATATGTTTCTATTGGTTTTAAAGAGAAACATTGATTGGTTGCCTCCTTTTCTTGCCCCGGCCCCTATTGAACCTGAAACCTTCTGGTGTATGGTGCAACACACCAACCAACTGGGCCACCTGGCCATGGCCCAATTTAGACTTGAGTAACCAAGAAGGATTTTTTTTTTTTTTCATAAGTAAACTGATCCAGCAGTTTGACATCTTGAAATAACAGCATTTATAGTTTTGTTTCAGTAACATATAATCAATAGAGATTATGGAAAAATAATCTTGTTCTTTTTAATCTAGTCTTGGTCTCCTTAGTTGATCCTGTGACTGATACTAGGATTTTGAACCACGTTATCATTCTTGCAATTAACCTTTTTTCTATATTGCTGAGCCTTTTAACATTGGTGTTTGAATTGGCAAAGGGGGTCTTAGCGAGTGGGGGCTATGATTTCACTGGCCTGCATTTCACTTAACTAAGATTTGTCACTGCTTCTTCCCTCTCTTCTGTCTAATCTCCTAATACCATCTAGCTGTGGCTGGGTTGTTAAACTGAGTGAAAACTAGTAAACACATTTCTTGTAGATGACACAGAAATAGACCAGGAAAAGATAAGTTTTTTCCACACAGTGGGTGTTTTTTTAATATATTTTATTGATTTTTTTACAGAGATAAAGGGAGAGGGATAGAGAGTTAGAAACATTGATCACCCCTTACCTCCTGCACACCCCCTACGGGGATGTTCCCTTGACTGGAATCGAACCTGGGACCCCTCAGTCCGCAGGCTGACACTATCCACTGAGCCAAATGTTCTACATATCTTAAATGTTCTTTTGCAATCTCTGTGTGGTTTCAGCCACACAGTGTTTGGGTTTTTTTGTGGTTTTCTGTTTTTGTTTTTTTAAGCAAATTTACCCCCCCTTTATATATATATATATATATTATTGCTTTTTTACAGAGAGGAAGGTAGAGGGATAAAGAGGTAGAAACATTGATCAGCTGCCTCCTGCACACCCTCTATTGGGGATGTGCCCACAACCAAGGTACATGCCCTTGACCGGAATCGAACCTGGGACCTTTCAGTCCGAAGCTCTGTCCACTGAGCCAAACTGTTTTCAGCAACCACACTGTTTTTTATTGTATTGTTTAATTAAAAGGTGGTGAGTAATAGATTTAAGCTAAATCAACTTAATTATATATTTCTTTGTTAGTATCTGTTTGCTCGCGCCCCCCCCCCCCCCCCCAAGTGTCTATCTTAGGATATAGAAGTAAAATTTTAGGTGTCAAATTCAACCATAATATAAGCAATAAATTTAGCCTTTTAAATGTACCCCCCCCAAAAAACAAGATATTTTTATAATTCTTTTTTTGTTTATTTGTTTTTGTTTTAGCAAAAAATGGGAAAGAAACAGAATGGAAAGAGTAAAAAAGTTGAAGAGGCAGAGCCTGAAGAATTTGTAGTGGAAAAAGTATTGGACCGACGTGTAGTGAATGGGAAGGTGGAGTATTTCCTGAAGTGGAAAGGATTCACAGAGTGAGTGAATCCCTTCTATGTTTAAGGGCACTTAAGCGGCATTTAAAACTTGTTTTCAACCTGAGGTTTTTTATTTTTCCATGGGTTTTTTTTTCAAAGTTTTATATAGTATATATTTTATTGATTTTGTACAGAGAGGAAGGGAGAGAGATAAAGAGTTAGAAACATTGATGTGATGGAGTCATAGATCAGCTGCCTCTTGCACACCCCCTTCTAGGGATATGCCCTCAGTCAAGGTACATGCCCTTGACTGGAATCGAACTTTCAGTCCCCAAGCCGACGCTCTATCCATTGAGCCAAACCGGTTTCGGCCATGGGTTTCTTTAAGTTTATAGAATTTATTTAATTCAGGGTATCTTGCTAGAGTTCTGTTTAAAAGGAACCAAGTTCTTAGCCTACATGTTAGCCAAGCAAATTTGAGACTAGTTGATTACCTTGAGCGTCAAATTTATAGAATTATTGTAGTGCTGTGTGATATTTTTTTGTGTTGTATTTTTTAAATTGATTTTTTAGAGAGGAAAGGAGAGGGAGTGCACTATCAGAGCAGGCCCTTGATCAGCTGCCTCCTGCACACCCCCTACTGCATTCCGGCAACCTTCCAGTGCATGGAACGATGCCCAACCATTGGGCCATGTGGGCCAGGGCCATGTGATGCATTTCAGTGTAGCTATTGTACTAATTAACTAGAATACCTAATCTACATCACTTCCTTACATGAGGAGGGCACTAACATGGAGGAGGTTCTATAGTGTAGACCAGTGGGTATTAAACAGAAGTGCTTGTTATGATCCAGTTCTTACTGTATCTGTAAGAAGTAGAGTCTGGGCCTTTTTTTTTTTTTTTTTTTTTTTTTTTTTAGGTTCCTCATGATCCTTGTTACTAGTGGCTCTCGTAACTGCTTGTATTAGCTGTCTTGTGGATAACTTGCATGCAGAAATTACATTCTTAATGTTTATCATGTACAAATATGCTTAGATTCTCTTCTGTCTTACACCACAAAAACAGTGAGGCTCTATGGGCAACAATTAATAATGGATAGGTAGAAACCTGCAAAAAGTTTTCTGAGCGTGATGGAGATGAGTATGATAGATTATTAGGCTTCAACTACCTGAAATCTACCTCCACCATTCACATTTTAAAGCAATCTCCTTAGCAGTTTGGGAAGAATGAACTGAATGGAAGGTTCAGGTTTTCCTGTTAGCTTCTCAGTACCCTTAGTTGAGTTCAGGTATTTATCATAAGTTCATAATGTACCCCTAGAAAATTTTCCTAGCTGAACCAAGCAAATAAGCCTGAATTATTTTTGAATGAGATTTAACCAGTTTGATTTAACCAAAATTGATATCCTTCATATGGTAGAGAGTTGGTTTTTGTTGGTTTGTTTTTTAACCTTCCGGCATATTAAAAACTCTTATGTCCTACCGATTAAATGTTAGGAAACTAACTCTTCCCTTTCTCCCCAAACTGAAGGCTACTAGTATGATTGAGAGCCTACTATGTGTGGCACTACGTGTTAGGTGACTGTAATGAAAATAACTACAGAATGGAGGCTCCACTTCAGCTCTCGTCCTCCTTCACCCTTTAATTTAGGTTTGCCAATTTTGAAGTCTGAATCAACAAAACCACGTTGAAACCAGAGGTTAATAGCACCTTTCCCTGCATCTCTAAAATGATTAGTTTCATTCTATTTGTGTAAAGGCTTTTTTGGATCAGAGCACACAAAGTTTGCAAGCCTATCACTGTTGGATGATCATACTTTCACATTTGGTAATTGATACTTGTTTTCTTTCCAGCCCTCGTTTATGGGCCCTGAAATAGAATTTTATAATTTTCATTTTGAAATATTTTCCCAACCAATTAAGAATGTAAAAAACAGAAGGCTGGATTTAACTTTCTGTTGCTAATCCCCCCCCTTTATATAATTTCCCAATTTGAGCACTCAGCAGAAATTGGAAGTACTACCGTGTTTCCCTGAAAATAAGACATCCCCTGAAAATAAGACCTAGCGCAACTTTGGGAGAAAAAATTAATATAAGACACTGTCTTATTTTCGGGGAAACAGGGTATCTCATGTTTGAGAATACCTCAATTATTTTAAACCACAGTATTGGAGACACTAACTCTATGTATCTTCTAATTAATCTATTAAAATAATTTACAGTGGGAATTAGGAATTCACATTTTTAAATGGGTTGTTTCCATAATTTGGAAAAATATTAGCTTGTTAATATGGTGGAATCAGGTTTTGTTAACCTGGAGGTAATATAGCAGATTGATCCCTTGGATAGGAATTGTGAAAGAAGACATAAGGGAAATATGATCACGTGTTAAAAGAATGTGAGGCATAGGAAACAAGTGGTTAGCGCAGAGGACTTTTCACATATATATAAAGTGAATCTGAATGACGGTAATAAACCATGTTTAATCGAATGAACTTTTTTTTAACTGAATGCAGTGCTGACAATACTTGGGAGCCTGAAGAAAATTTAGATTGTCCAGAGTTAATTGAAGCATTTCTTAATTCTCAAAAAGCTGGTAAAGAAAAAGATGGTACAAAAAGAAAGTCTTTATCTGACAGTGAATCTGATGATAGCAAATCAAAGAAGAAAAGAGATGCTGTAAGTATAAAATATTGCCCACCAAATTAGCTTTTTGTAAAAGATTGATGGCTTGATGTTTAAAATACTTTTAAGACTTTAATGCTTTTAAAATATTATTTAAACACCTTTTTAAAAGGCTTACTTTAAATTGTGCTAGTGTTATTTTGGGTAGATTCGTGGATATGGTTCCTATGATCCAAGACTAGCAGTTCTTGAAAACAATCCACATAGCTCATCCTGACTGTTGACCATTTAACAGTTTTGACCACAAGAAAGTACTTTGGTATGTGATCTTTCCATTATCAAAGTAATGCCAATGATACTTTGATTTTGACATAATCTTTGATGATAACATTTTTTGTTTTATTGGCGTGAATTGAGGCAGTTGATTTAGTACTACATGTTCAAATCTTTGCCTACTGGTGTCTGTGGCTTGAGGCAAACCACAACTCTGCTTGCTTTCAGCTTCAAAAAACAAATTATATTTGCCCTTTGTTCTGGGAATGGTAATTTGGGAAAGAGTCTTCTTAATTGGCATTTAGGCTTGGGGACTAAACATACACTACAGATTTCTTGATGAGATCTTTATATTTTAAATTTGAACTAGATGCCATATACTTTACAGATAATCCATTAAATGTTCATGACATCTCTATTAAGATTATAGGTATTATCTCCATTTTATAGAGGAGAAACAGATGTTGGCTATAGATTTGGTTTGGATACTTTAACAGTCAAAACAAAAAAATAACAATGTTAAGAATCAGTATATATTAGTCCCCTTATATCTAAGGTTTCAGTTACCTGTGGTCAACTGATTCCAAAAATACTAAATTTCCCCAACCAACATTTTCTGCTCCTGACATCCAACCATCCAACATTGTCATGGCTCAATGATCCAGGATCACCTGGAGCCAGATGATCCTCCTTCTGACATAACATCAGAAGGTCATTCATTTACTAACTTAATGCTTCATTACAATGCCTACGTCATTCATCTCATCGTGTAGGCATTTTACCATCTCACATCATCACTAGAAGGGTGAGTACAGTACGATAAGACATTTTGAGAGACTACATTTATGTAACTTTTACAATATTTTAATTGTTTTATTTTATTACTAGTTTATCTCTTACTGTGCCTAATTTATAAATAAAACTAGATAAGTATGTGTAGGGGAAAACATGTGTAGGGTTTAGTACTATCCACTGGGTCTTGAACATATTTTTGAGTGGATAAATGGGGACTACTGTATGTAATTCAAAAGTCAACCACGTGCTCTACAGAAGCACTGTTTAATTACAATAGTTAATTTTCATGCATTTAGCCCTTACATTTTGGCAAACAATCTTCTAGATTACTTAATTTGCATGTCATATACATGAAAAGTCTGTGAGATAGCTGATAATATTCTTCTTATTTTGGGGGGTAGTCTAAACTGCAAAGAGGTTAACTTGCCCAGAGCTACGCAGCTAGTAGAGGTTAGAACCATTATTCTAAGTAACCTAGGCATCTGACTTCAGAGTCTGGGATACTGATGTGAAAGTCTGGGTAGGGTGAAAGGATTTATTGATCTAAATAGCTCTTAAACTTTGGTCTCCAAAAAATTACCAAGGATCCCAAAGAACTTTTGTATATATGGGTTATACCTATAAGTGACTATAGTAGGAATTAAAATAGAAATTTTCAAAAGTATTTATATATTTATTTAAGAATGACAAAATTATTGCATGTTCATAACTATTCATGAAAAGCAACTTTAAATGTGAAGCATGTCATTTTACATTTTTGGAAGTTTTAATGTGTGGCTTAATAGTAGACAGTTATGTATTTGATGTGCTGTGTTATGATTTGGGGAGGCGTGTGAAGACTATGAAGTTACATGAAAAGAGGGGACCTTGTGGATAAATGGACACCCCAAAGGTCTCAGGGATTCCCAAGAACCCTCAGAGGACACTTTGAGAATCACTAGTTTATAGGAAGTATTTTAGAAGATTGATTACAATACTGATTAATCTTGAGTTTTAAGGATTTTACAGAATTGATTCTAATTTTGTATGTGCTTTATAAGTATAGGTAATTTAGGCAATTTCCTGGGAGTGATTTGAAATACTACCTTTAAGGATTTATAATTATTAAATTATTAAAGTTATCAGAAATAAAGGTATTAGTTTGTCTGTTTTAATTTATGGTTCAGAATACTTTTAGATATCCAGATTTTTTTTCTGTTTGTAAAGTTAATAGAAATTATGATGTGTTTTGAATTAAATGGGTATGTTCTAGTCATTTCTCTTTCACTATTGAAAGGTCTTTATTTAAAAGTTATATGTCACAAAAACAAATTGGAAGTTAACATTATTAATTTGCTGTGTGGAAACACATATGCAAATAATCATTTAACTTCTTAAACAGGCTGATAAACCAAGAGGCTTTGCCAGAGGTCTTGATCCTGAACGAATAATTGGTGCCACAGACAGCAGCGGGGAATTAATGTTCCTCATGAAGTGGTAAGTGTGGTGATTACTGGTATATTCTAAGTACAAGTAGATGGACTTTCTTTTTTTATTTTATTTTATTTTTTTTTTTTATTTTTTTTTATTTTATTTTTTTGACAGATAATGAGGAGTGGTGGGAGAGAGAGGCATTGATTTGTTTTGTTCCACTTATTTATACATTTATTGGTTGATTCTTAATTGGTGCCCTGACAGGGGTATCGGACCTGCAACCTTAACAAATTGGAACCATGCTCTAACCAACTGAGCTACCCAGCCAGAGCAATGGGCTTTTTTTTTTTTTTTTTTTTTTTTTTTTTTTTTTCTCCCTTCTGTGAGGCTTTATGTAGAAAGGGTTTTATAGTTTCCATCATTAGATAATAATTATCTGCTGAAGGGATGATTCTACTTTTACTAATGATATTTCAATATTAGCAAACTGGCCTGTTTTATAAAATGAAATTTTATTGGAACCCTAGCACAAGTCCCTCATAATCCTCTTGAATTGTTAAATAATCTGATTAAGTTATAATGTGTTGAGCTGTTCTCCTTTGACAAAAAGGGTTTAGATTTTTAACTGAATTTTTTCTCCTCCCCCAAACAGGAAAGATTCCGACGAGGCAGATTTGGTGCTGGCAAAAGAGGCAAATATGAAGTGTCCTCAAATTGTAATTGCTTTCTATGAAGAAAGACTAACTTGGCATTCTTGTCCAGAAGATGAAGCCCAATAATTGTTTGCATTGTTTTTTATATATATTTATACATATATATAAAATCTGGGTCTTGGTTCTTTTGATTTATTAGTGTGAAGAAAGAACTACATTATAATGAAAATCAAGTTTGATATGTTGGTTTTGAAGTAGTGCTGGGGAGTTGTTTGGGGGGTTGCATCTGTAGCACTGGTTACTTTGAACAAAAGCTTTCTGTAGTTGTTTCCTTTGTCAAAAAAGAACGTTTGATATCATGATGTTGTATTTTTTCCTCTGCGTTAGAGAAGTCTCTCTAAATGTTGGGGGAAATCTGCATAGTCATTACTCAGTCAGAATTTGTATGTGCCTAAGGATCATTGCGGGGTTTTTGTTTATTGGGGGGAGAGGGAGGGAAGGTGTGTATACATATGTAAATGGTTTTCTTTTATTCTTTTTGTTTTGTTTTTTTACCAAAACACCATTTCACAACCATAGATAAGTTCATGTTTCTGAGCTGCCGTCATTTTCAGCAACCTAAGAAAAAAAATTATTTGAAGTTAAATTAAAATTTTTCCTGAAGCTTTTAACCTTTGAAATTAGATAATTTGTGATTAATTGGGAGTTATATATATATAAGGTAAGCAGTTTAAATTGGACAATTTAAAGTAGATCAGATCAGAATCCATATCTACAATCATAAATACAAGTTTATTTGCAAAACCCCTAAGAGGAAAATTTTATCACTGCCAATAACCTCACCCAAATGAGAAAACTAGGCAAACCCTGCTGTGTTCTAATTAAGTAAGCAACACTTATTTAAAGGTTTTACCTCATAAAATATTCCTTTACAAGAAGTTGAAATCCCTGTGCTATGTTGCTAAAAGTTAAGGTCATGGAAAGTGTAAGACTTTATTCATGGATACCTAATCAGACTGTTAAGAGACCTTGGCAGCTTAGGGCCTGCTGGAATAAATGGGTGAACAAACTTTTTGTAATCTAAACTATTGGTCTGCATGTTTTCTCTTTACTCCAACTCAGTCTTTACATGTAGGCTTGGTCTCAGTATTGGGAGTACTGGTTCAACAAAAACCAGGAAAAACAATAGCTTTGTAGTAAACAGAATATTACCAACCAACTGTATATTGTTTACTTTATTGTAAATACTGGTAAACAGTGGTTAATAAATAGTTTTATATTCCTTTGTGATTAGACTTTTTCTTAATCTGATGGCCTTTATCCTGAAGGTAGAAACACCCACAGACATGTGGTTCCACAAAAATACTGTGTGTTTTTTGTGGGGGAGGATGAAAATTAGTTTCGTGTGAAATTTTAATACTTAGGATATAGTTTGTTAAAATTACATCTGAAAAACAAGTTTTCCGATAGGAGTGAGCTGGTTGTGTTAGATCTATGTTTACTCATGTCCAAAATCCACAGAGAATGAAGTCATTTTGCAACACATACAAACATTGGACTACGATGTTGTATAGCTGAAACAATATCAATTACACATCAATTTTTTATAAGAACATTTATAATATAAAATCACAGAGGTGGGAGAATCAGTTTGTAAAAGAGATGGGCTTAGGAACAATTAAAGAGTTTGGGAGAGGAAGGAATGGTAACTCACCTGAGGGAAGGAGGGAAGAAAGGCCAGGGTGTGCTCTGGGAGGGAGAGCCCCTCTACAGGCAGTCCGCAGGTTACGTCAGACTCAGTGCATGCATGAGTGCTTTAAATTCTTATTATTGTGTACGTGCTTCAATGAGTGACGTAGGTGCTTATACTTAGGACAAAAATGGCAGTATGTTGCACCGTATATTTACTTGTTTTTGTTTTTAGAGGCCGTCTATATTCATTGGTTTCTGGCCTTTCCATCTTCAAAAACAGCAGTGTAGCAGTCTCTTCACCTCTCTATGCCTCATTCTTCATCTATAAAATAAGTTGTGGGTTTTTATAAAATTAAATGTGTACATGTGAGGCACTTAGAACAATGTCATATTTAGCAATCAAAAGGTTTTGTTTTTTACAAGCAAATGTTTGTTTAGAAAGTTACAGAGGTAGAAGTGAGCCAACTGGGCTGCCTGGACTCAGGAAACAAGTTACAAAGACCAAAAAAAGCTGTCGGAACTTAAGAAAAGGGGGTGGGCAGGTGTGCTTCAGAAAGTTGCCCAAAAGTGTGGGTTCCAAAGAAGTAACCCAGAAAACTGTGAGAGACATGGTTTTATTTGGACAGGTATGCACGGGGCAGCTGGGTGCTATTAAACACTAGAGGCCTGGTGCACAAAATATATAGCCAAACCGGTCAGGGCTATCACAACCTTTTTTAAAAAATAATTTCAGCCGAAACCAGTTTGGCTCAGTGGTAGAGCGTGGGTCTGCAGACTGAAAGGTCCCAGGTTCAATTCCGATCAAGGACATGTATTAATAGATTGGTTGCGGGCACATCCCCTGTGGGGAGTGTGCAGGAGGTGGCTGATGTTTTTCTCATTAACGTTTCTAGCTCTATCCCTCTCTCCTCCTCTCTGTAAAAAAATCAATAAAATATATTTTTTAAAAAAATAATTTCAGCCCTGACTGATTTGGCTCAGTAGATAGAGTGTCGGCCTGCAGACTCAAGGGTCCCAGGTTCAATTCCAGTCAAGGGCAGGTACCTTGGTTTCAGGCACATACCCATTGGGGAGTGTGCAGGAGGCAGCTGATAAGTGTTTCTCTCATTGATATTTCTAGCTCTCTATCCTCCCTCTCTATAAAAAAAATCAATAAAATATATTTTTTTAAATAATTTCAGTATCTACTGCAAGGATCAAACTTAGTGGTATCCATCAACTTTTACCTATTTCCCTAGTGCATTTGTTGGATATTGATGACACCCTAATTTAATATTCTGAATTGGTCATTCTGGAACAGTAAATTATTATTTTTTATTATTTATTTTGTTAATTGTGGTTTTTATTGTGGTAAAAAGAAAAGACATAGCGCAAGATGTCATTCTTAACAAAGTTGCAAGTGTAAGCACGGTACTGTTGAACTATTACGCTAATATTTTCAGAGCTCCAAAGCCACTTTGCTGAGCAGTAGGAGAGAGTCAAGCGAGAAGGGAAACGGGCAGATCTCCAGGGGAGAAGCCTAGATGAGAATGTGCATCGGAGAAGGTAGGTCTTCCATTCAGGAGCCACGCCGCTACTTCCCAAGGCCTTTTGGGTACTCCAGTAACCGAATGCCTCTAACCAGATCCCAAGGTGGACTGGCTTTAAAGTGAATTCCTCTTTCTAGCAAACAGTGTCACAATGAGCTTCCTGTTGTGCCCTCTCATGCCTCCAGCCTCTGTGTAGCTTTCGTGGACACCTGATTCCTCTGCGCCAGGAGAACTCTGAGCAATGGAAACCTATCTGTGATGTGCTGAAGGAGATAGTCTGGGCGCTGGGTAGAGGGGATGCTGTCACTTTTCTTGCCGTTTGTTATCCAGCTCACAGGAAGTCGAGCTCAGCACCCTTCCAGCAGTAAAGCATTACATCTCCTAGGGAGGACTCTTAAATCGCACCTCTCTCTTGTATTATCATAAATAAATAAGAGACTGATCTCTAGACGTGGTGGTTATGCAAATGAGGGCAGAGAGACCCAAGCTTTCTCTTCTAGAATGTAAGCGCAGGGGAGCCAGTTTCTGACTTCTTCACTGCTGTATCCTTAACTCAGAGAAGAGAACCTGGTGTAAATTTGAGGAAGGGAGGGAGGGCTCTGGGCTTAAATTGGGGCTTAAAATAGATAGCATTCTTACCATTCAAAAACTCAAAAAGGATCTGCCAGAGGAAGAGTCAACCCCTAAAGTAAAGGAAGCTCAATATATAGATCACATAAAGGTTGGAAATTTCAAGAGGGGCAATTTGGCTGAGCCAAGTGCCTGAATTAATAAAATAAACATGGGAATATACACACAATCCCCCCCCCCCCCCGCCTGCCCCCCAAAAATCCTGAAATCTACTTTAAATTTAGCCCACACAGTGCTTGCTTTGGCAGCACATTCACTAAAATTGGAACAATACAGAGGTTAGCACTGCACCTGCACAAGGATGACACGCAAATTCATAAAGCGTTCCGTATTAAAATAATGATAATTTAGCACACAACCTGCAATAGTCTCCCTTGTGCTTATCATTGTTGTCTGACCTGTTGATAAGTCCTCCTGTTACTCCTCACTTGTCTAAAAACATAAGTATTTGTGGTAGCACATATGCATTCCCCATTTAGTGTATATATTCCAAGAAAAATGGTCTGGATTGGTCCTATTTTGCCCTTTTTTTAAATTGAGTTTTAGAGAGAGAAAAGGAGGGAGAGAGAGAGAAACATCGACTAGCTGCCTCCTGTATGCCCCTGACCCGGGATCAAGCCAGCAACCTAGTCATGAGCCCTGCCCAGGAACTAAGCCAGCAGACGCCTGTGCCACACGGCCAGAAAGGAAGAGCCGTGAAAAGACAGCAGAAATTAGGAGGACATGTTCATTTTCAGGAAGAAATTAAATCGATGGTGGAATTGTTATCATACCTTCCATCAAACAGGCTCAAATTAAAAAATGGTACAATCGCCAAAACCGGTGTGGCTCAGTGGAGAGAGCATCGGCCTGCAGACTGAAAGGTCCCAGATTCGATTCCGGTCAAGGGTATGTACCTTGTTTGTGGGCACATCCCCAGTAGGGTGTGTGCAAGAAGTAGCTGATCAATGATTTTCTCTCATTGATGTTTCTAACTCTCTACCCATCTCCCTCTCTGTAAAAATTATTTATATATATATATATATATATATATATATATATATATATACATATATATAACTTCTTTCATAATAATTGTTATATATATATATATATATATATATATATATAACAATTATTATGAAAGAAGTACTGCCCATTTGATGTTCTTGCTTGGTACTGTCCTAGGTGTTGGACCCAGGTCTATTTCAGACAGACATATTTTTCTTCCTCTTTTTTTCCCCCTCAACCATTTGAAAATGTAAAAACCATTCTTTGCTTTTGGGACCCAGAAAG